GCGTTTTTGTCCCCGAATAAATTGAACTTAAACCCCCAAATAATTCAAATTTGGTTCAAAGCTCAGAATCCCTGAATTGTGAAGAGGGTTGGAAAGTTTGCAAAGAACTCTCATGTCACTGAGAAAGTCCAATGGTGGAATGGAGAAGTGTGGAGCATTATAAGTATTGGGTTGTCGGAAAAGTCGTGACATATTCTTTTCTGTTTTTCGTTGCAAAAATGCGTCATGATTTTTCCGACAACCTAATAAGATGCAAAGATTAAATGCAGTGACGTTTTATATACTTTAAAGCCAGAAGTCTGACTTCTTGCTGCCTGGGTCAAGGGCTGGGCCAGCTTCCAAGTCTGTGCCATCATGTATTTAGCTTTCTGAGCATTGGTACCTTCCTCAGTAGACTGGAAGGCGCAACCCCAACAGCTAACACCTATGGGAACCATAGGATAAAAGGCTACCTGCCCAGCTCCAAGAAGGACTTTGTTCCAAAAGGATTGTCTTCCCTGGGTTAGGACCTCACCATCCGATTTAGGCAGTTAAAGCTATGGATAATCAAAGAGTTAACTTCATTTATTTCATCTCAGGGTTAGTTTTGTCTTTGTTTTTTAAACCTGCTATAAACCTGATTACAGAATGTTCAGAGCATTTGATTAACATTAAAAAAAGTAGAGATGGTGATAAGATTTTTTAATGCACTGCTTTTTCTATACAAAAATGACATAATTATTCCACCTGAGTTTATAACATTTTTTTCTAGTCATGGTGATAGAGCAGAGGTTAAATAACTAGCTGTATCACTTAGGATTCCGTTCAGCTACATATAACAGAAAGACCAAATAACACGATTTAATAAGAGAGCGATTTACCCTTCGCTCACATGAAAGAAACCCAAGGAAGGAAATCCAGAACACAAAGCTTGGCCCCAGACTTATCAGGGACCTGGGCTCTTCCTATGTGCCTGCTCTAATGTCCTTATCATATAACTTCCGTTCTCAGAATTGCTTCATGGTCACTAGATGGCTGCTGGAGCCCCAGCCCTCGTGTCTATGTTCCAGGCAGCAGGAAGGAAGACGCACCTCTCAGCTGACTCAGGCCCAAGTGAAGAGCTTCTTTGGAAGCCATACCGAAGACTTGGCTTATATCTCATTAAGCACCCCTGTCTGCAAGAGAAGCTGAAAAATATGTTTCATCAGAGCACATTGCTGCCCTCAACCATATGGGTTCCACTTGCAAGAAAGAAGAATTGGGTGGTCGACCTGGTCTCTACCTAATCTGCCATGCTTCCCCTCCTGGCTTTGTTACAACTCTTAATCATCAGGAGTTACTGTTGGCAGGTGGACCAGGGGGGAAATTCTAGCAGCCATGAACTGTCAGGCTGTGTGTGGATGAGGCCTAACCAAGCCCTGACCCACCAATATTTGGATGTCTCCTTTTGCTTTTGTGGACTCTTGGTTCTCTGCTTCTGCCTGGTCTAAATCTGACTTACTTCAGATCAATAATTGTGTGTGAAAGCTCTCCCCTGAGGGCCTAAGAGAAAGCAGCTGAGAGATATGGTCTGACCCCATTTTCTTTGACTTGGTCGGGTGTCCGTTGGTTTTCTTTCTCAGACCTGGGTGCTCCTGCCTTTGGTGTCATCACTGATGAAAACCTGCAGGAAAAGAATCGGTTTGCATGTTCCCTGAGGACAGACTGAGGTAGGAACACAGGGGTCTTGAGGGGTCTTAGTTTCTAGCGAGGATGAAAGGCAATTAGTTCTCTACTCAAGTCATGTTTGGGCAACATTGAATAATTCACATGAAAGCATGGAACCATTTTCATTGACACCAGCAGGGAGGTGTTTGCAGTAGTCAGTCTTCCTTCACCTCAGGGCCACCTGTCTGCCCATTTTATAGCCAAGAAAACTGAGGTGAGGTCACCTGCCCTGAAGAGCCATGCTGCTTCCCTATTTCAGAGAGCCACCCTCACCCAAAGAGTCCGGCTTTCCACAAAGGGGTCCTACATACCAGGTCCCATAGCCTGGCCTTGGTTCCGGGGTGCTGGGCGAGATGGGTGCTGAGTAGCTTGTGGGAGATAGCTCTGCAGCTGGCCCCCGACTCTGGGGCTGCTAGGAGCCCTCAGAAGGCCTCTGGGCTCCCCCTCTCCCCACCTGCCCGGTGAGGCTTAGGTACCAGACTTGAAATAAAGGAAAACAAAAGGGGTATCCATCATTATCATCATCATTAATTACATGTGTGACCGACAGCAACATTCCCCACCAGGTTTATGCACTTAAAAATGGAATTAGGTTGAGCTTTCAGCGGGGGAGGGGGAAATCGAACTTCCGTTTTGTTTCCGTCTTTCATTTATGCTCATTTTTACTGAGTGTTCATCAAACCAACGAGCCCTCCACGTGGAATGCCTTGGACTCAGATAATCTGACACGCCAAGAAGCCAAGCACCACAGAGCTGAACACAAACTAAAAATAGTATTTTTACAATGAAATTAACACAGTGACTGTTGACCAGGGAAGCTTCCTCGAGCCAGAAAGAAGCCCGGGGAACTTGCAACTTCCCCGAAGAAAAGCCTGCTGGCAGAAATCATTCTCCAGGAAGAACAGGAAAATGAACTGGCATGAATAAAGCACTTTACAGTTTATAAAGCACTCCTTCACATCATTTTCTTGTTTGCGCTTTTTGCAAACACTGTAAAGTGGGAAGCAGGATATTTTTCAGAAAAGGAAACTAAAGCCTCAGATTATTTTTTAGAAAAAGAAACTAAAGCCTCAGGGTGATGAACCCAAGAGCACGCAGCTGGAATCCAGGTCAAGGATGTGGTCAGAAGGGGCTGGGCCTCCTCTGGCACCTTGGATGTTCAGGCAATCCCCTTGCCATCCAGTCACCCAGTGGCCACCTGTAACAGGAAATGGCTCTTCCATTTCCCGTAGCACCTGTGGTCACCACCTCTGAGGCCAGGACCTCGGGGTTTGATTCCAGCCTGAAGGGACACTGCAACCATTTTGACCCTGTACCTTTGCTGTGCTCTGTGCTTCCCAGTGACATGGGGCTGCAGACACAGGTGCTCACTTTGGTGGAAGAAGAGTGCGGGGAACGTAAGAGACACCCCTCCTCCACGCCCTGGACCACCTACCCCCACACAGTCTGGCCTGGGTTCCTCCATTGCCGGTGACCTCTGGGCAAGTATCCACACACCTCTGCTTACCCGCCTGGAAAATGGGGAGAAGAGCCTCTTGCCTTCATCCCTCCCACGGAGTGGCAAGACGGGGAGCAGAGGGAACCTGCTGGTCTGGACAAGTCTCAGCCATGCCCATCCTCCTGACCTGCCCTCTGGGGTCTGCCTGCTGCGGCTGCATGCCAGCTCTGATCCTGGGCTCCCAGGATCACGTGTGTGAGTTGTCTGTCCCCAGGCGGCAGTGCAGGTGAGGCGGTCAGCATCATTGCAATTGGTTCCCAAGGCCAGCTGCTGCGGGTCATAAGGCTTTCTTCGGGTGTGAGGTGAGCCGACCTACATTCCTGGCTTCATGGTGAGCAAGTGGCGGCTGCCCACCACTTCCGAGCAAACGGTCTCCATTTTCTCTGTCGGAGGGAGTAGAGTGCCAAGCCCCAGCCCTGACGGCCTCCACGCATCCATCTAGCACTTACTTCATTAAGTAAGTTTCTTCCACACATTTTCAGATTCTTTCAAGCTCTGGTACGAATAACCTAAGTTCAACCAACCCGGATCCCCGAGAAACTCTTGGAATGGGGGTTCAGTTTAGAAAGCTTCTCTGGTTGCAGCCCCCTGAAACTTGCGTACCCTCCGACCTTGGATCCCTGGCCAAAGTGCAGGGAGGGGCTGCAGCCAGACCCTGGAGATCCTCCTGGGCCCAGGTACCCAGACACGGGCTCAGCATCCAGCCAGGGGCCCTTACATGAGACCTCCATCCACGTTTCCAGGAGACCTGAGTGGGGACTAGGGGCCAGCCAGCCAGGCAGGACAGCAAGCCCAGGAATTGGCAGGAACAGCTGAGGAAAGAGGCAGCATTGCTCCAGGAGCCCTAATTGTCGTGGAGCCTGATATTGAGGACAGATGCAGTGATGTCCATCAATACTCACCCATTCAGGGGTCCCATTATCCCCTCTCCCTGCCTCACCTATGCATTCTAACACTTAACAGTATAGGCCCTTTTCATCCCCAAAGGGCAAGTGGTCTGGTGAGGGATTTGCAAAAGCTTAAAAGCTTCTCCACTATCTAGAAGGACACCCAGCAGCACTTCAGTGGGGAAGGAGAAAGGGGACAGAGATGGACACTGAGCCCCCCCAAACAAACAGAAGGAGCCTCAGACAGTAAGGAGCACCCCCATTGCCTATCACTAGCGATGACTCGCAGAAGGAAATGGACTGAGGGACTGACACTGCGCTTTGTCCCCTAGTTCAAGTCCTACATCATTGTTCCAGAAACCCGAAGGCTGACATGCATAAGAAGCCGCTTCCTTGTGTGTCTCAGATGGACCTGGGGCAAGTCCCTGGGGTGGTTGGAGCGTTTCCCAAAGGGCAAAACGACAGCAGCAGGATGTGCCTCGGTTTCCCGGGGAACTTATGGGCAACCTACTGGACAAAAGCTTCCACTCTTAAAACATAAAGCTGCAAAGATCCCATGTGCTTTCTCTCTCTCTCTTTTTTTCTTTCTCATTTTTTCAAGTTGCGATATAATTCATGCATTTTAAAAATCAAACTAATTGCATCCCGGGACCCCAGGCTGGAAGCCGTTGTACGCCTGTGAAGGTCAGAGGCCCAGCCAGGAAGGGCCAGAGCTTTCCCTTCCCGGCCAGCCGGGTCCAGGGTGCGCCTGCCGGCTGTCCCAGCTCAGGCCGAGTGGGGCGCGGCGGGCGTCTGTCCTGCGAGCGGGCACACAGCACGCTGCCTCTAGGCCGTGGCACGTGGGCAAAAACGCGGGGCCGCCCCACCGGACGCCAGGATCCCGGACGCCGTGCAGGGGCCCAGACCGGCGGGTACGCATTCCCGGAGCGCGGCGAGCCAACCGAAGTTGGGCGAGTGCGCCGAGCCGCGGCGGGCAGGGGGCGGCAGGTGCCGCGGGCGTGCTCTCCCGACTTCAGGGAGACAGCCGGACGCTGCGGTCCCCACGCCCCCGCGACCTGGCCCGGCCCGGTGCCCGCGCCTTGGGACTTCCGGGGCCCGGCGGCGCTCCGGGGAGCTCCTCCAAGGGCAGCCTCCGGGGTGGGGGAGAGCTCGGCACTGTGGCAGGGCTCCCGCAGGGGCGGCGGGCGGGGTGGGGTGAGGCGGGCCAGCACCCTCCCCTCCCGCTGGCCCTCCCTTCCTCCCGTCCTGCAGCCAATTAGACGCCCCCTCGGGCGGGAGGCGTGGGGTGCTCCATAAAGCGGCTCGGAGCTGTCACCCCGCGAAGAGGCTGTGCACGGCCTAGGATAGAGCCGGCGCCGAAGACTCGGGCGCCTCGGACCACGGAGCGCGGAGGAGCCATGGCCACCAGCAACGGGGCCGTGGAGAACGGACAGCCAGACAAGAAGCCGCCTGCCTTGCCTCGCCCCATCCGCAACCTGGAGGTCAAGTTCACCAAGGTGAGGTGGCGCCCATCCTACCCGACGGCAGCCTGGCTCCGCGCTGGGCTGCCGGGCCCGGGATGGCGGGGACTAGGGGCCAGCAGAAGCGGACCCCTGCCGCTTCGCTCCGAGGGCGCAGCGCGCTGAGGGCGGCGCACTCTCGGCTGAGTTCGCCAGGCTCTCGGGACCCGGGGCTCTCTGCCTGGGCCGGGTCCTCCCGAAGCCGCGTTCGGTGCAGGGCTTCCCATGCGGGAGACCGCGCCCCGCGGACATCCACCGCGCACCCCGAGGGGCACTCCGCGATCCGCACGCCCAGACGGGCTCTCGGGCGGCGGAGCTCAGCGCTTTCAGCCTCAAATCTGGCCGAGGGAGCCTGCGCAGCGTCCGCAGGTTGCCAGCTGCAGCCTGGCGCGGCCCCGACGTGCTCCTGCCGGGCCTCTTTGGAGGCGAGCAGAAGTGCGCAGCCGAGGTGCCTCAGGCGTGGTGGGCTCCCTACACACCCCGCTGCAGGGTGTCCGGACCCGAACCGGTCTGGCTTCGGGAGGGTCAGAGGGTGCCCGCCCGAGAACGCGAAGTGGAGGTCTGAGAGCTCAGGCTCACCCCGAAACATGCCATTGGGAGGGAGCAAAGGGAGAGCTGTCGGGCTGCTTCTTGTGCTTAGCTTCCACTGGACAGGCCAGCAGAGCGGAGGGAAGTGGGAAGGGGATCACCGGTAGGACTGCCCTGGAGCCCAGAGGCCCTGGTGTTGACAGACGAAGAACGCGTTCCCAGGTGGGCTCAGATCTGGGCCTGGGAAGCCAGCCGCGCGCAGGTGGCAGGGCCCCGTCGCGCCGCCAAGCAGCGAGGCTCTCTGTCTTTTGGGGCTGCGGACCAGGAGGCCAGAGTGTCAGCAAAGCGCTGAGATCACCTGCTTCAGGCAGAAACGGAGATGGCGAGGCCTCAACTGGGCTGAGCAGGCTGGGAGCGCCGCGGCCCAGAGGAGTCCAGAGGCTCTTAGGAGGCGGTGGGATGGGGCGGGGGCCCTTCAGGGGCGCCGACGGAGATCACTGCTGGCTTCACGTTCCCCAACTTTTGTGTCCTTCTATTTTTTGCATCTAATCCATAGCCCCTAACTCCAGCTGACACAGCACTTAGAAAATTCCCCCATCAATTTTACTTTCAAACGTAGCAATTATGTCTCTCAAGTAGTTTTAATCAGGCGGAGAAAGTTGCAGACCACTATGTGTGGCCTTCAGATTTGGGTCTCTTGGCACTTAATGTCTGCTGGGCCTCTGATCACATGACATTTAAATTAACTGTTTTCAGAGGGCTCTGTAATCAACAGAGACACGTCACCATAAATGCTGGAGATTATTTTTAATGTAGCTTTCCTTAGCGGTATCAGCTTCAGAGCAAAAATTCCAACGCAAATTATGGAAACAGTGAAACTAGTACCTAATGTTTTTTTTTTTTTTTAGACCCGAACACTGCTGGTGCTCGCTTGTTGTTGGTGATAGCGTTTTATTTTATTTTTGTTTTATAGGGTTTTTAAAAAACGATATAGAAACCAGAAATTACATATATGATTGTCCTTTTACCCTTGACCTTTGAGTCCTATCAGAGTGATGCAGCCACACACAGCAAGTTTACCTCTTTCTCTGCAACTCCTTATGGCCCCTAGGATCTCAGCAGACTCACCGAGGCCACCGGTGTCTTTCATCTTGCTAGGTGCCCCCTTGACCCAGTGGATCTGAACTGGGTGTGTGATTAAGGCTGAGGGATGACAATGAGATGGAGGGGATCAGAGAACCAGGGTCCTTAGGGGCTCTCAGGCCATGATGGTGGCAGCAGCCTGACACCAGGCCGCTGTACTCTCCCTCCTTCCCTGTGGAAGGTGAGGCCTCTGCCTGCTCTGTCCTTGCTCTGGGCCCACCTCTGCAAAGATCCCACCACCGCAAAGATTCCACCACCACCCCACCCCCAGCAGCTGGGGGGCCCAGGCAGCTCCTGTGGTGTGACTGAGGGTGAGCAGCAGGGGAGCAATGTTGAGGGAACCTCTGGCTGGACAGGCAACCAACACGGCAGATGAAAAAATTGAAACCCAAGTGAGGCAGGCAGTTGGGAGGGCTGGAGTGTGCAAACCAGTAATGGTCTGTTACTTTTCAAACCTGCTCCATGGTGCTTCTTGCTAATAGACGACAAGCCAGAGATGGTGGGTCGAGTCCCAGCCTTGAGGGTACCATTTCCCAGGAACCCCCCACCGATCTCAAAGGATAGCACCCCCTTTCACTTTAGAAGGCTCCTTCATTTCCTTATAAAATTTCTTCTGGTAACAGAGATTCTTGTTAAGATTTTCTTGTCCATTAAAAAACACCATTTTTTGTGGTCGCCTCTGCGAAGAATAAAATTCCCTCCAACCTCCTTTTCTGAACGCCTACTCCTTTTGAGTTGAGCTGAGGTCCAGTGGGAGTTCCTTTAAATGGCGCCTGCATTTAGTCACTCGTGTGACTTCCATCTTCCCTTCCGCCCAAGACACCCATCTCCTCAGAACAACTGTGGTTTTCCAGCTCAGTCCAGCTAACAGGCCATGCCATTCCTTCAGTAAAATCTGAATTCCATCCACAGCTCAATGCAACTTAAGTTTATACCTTTATAAGGTTTGTTTCATACCCATTCGTAAATTAAGGGGAACGATTGTTTTCGAGACCCGTTAGAATTCTGATTTAGGGCTCAAAACAATACAGCCAACATCACTGGTAGACCACACTCACTGACCCCTTCCTTATTTGTGTTTTTGTTTTCTTTCCGTGGAAAGAAACCGCTTACAAGATTACTTACTAGTGTCGTATAAAGAAAAAAATATTTGCTATGTTAGAAAGATTGTGATGGGAAAATATGGTTAGAGTCCAGCAGTCTACATTTTTTTAAGTTGCTGGTTAGAAAGGACCTCGGAACAATGTCAAGAATGACCAACTAATTTTTTGGGGGGTAGGGAACATGCTTGGAGATGAAGTGTAACAGACATCTGATCGTTGCAATCTGTTTCCATCCCCCTTATTTATATTCTCTTCTACCACCTTCTCATTTTCCATCCCCCTTGGAATTGATACCAGGAATGACCTAGAATCAGCAGTTTTCACTGACAGTCTCTATTATCTAACCCACGAAATTTCATCTTCCGACAAATGGGCCTCTCTTCCTGGCTGCATTTTCCTCCCCACGCTAACCTAACTCTTCTCCACTTATTAATTTCTCACTGTTACCGAGTGATTGCTTGCTGGATGGCAAAAGTGAACGCTTGGGTTTGGTTTCAGCTGGAAGAATAAGCCTGTAATTGTAGCCTGGCCTTTTCCGTGGCCTTCCCTGGGGGCCTGGCCTCACGTTGAAGGTGCTGAGCTTCCAGAAGTCGGATGGGCACATCCCACGGGCGAGGGGCGCTCTCAGCTCTGGATTCCACACAGTGGGGTAGAGGGGAACCTCTGCCTGCCTCCCTCGCCAGAGCTGGCCTTCTGTCTTCCTTCCCACCAGACTCAAGCATCTCTGCTTTCCAGCAAATACGTCTCCACCAGCGGGTTTCCTTCCTAGGGAGCTTTGGGGTTTTCACAAGAGAACCCAGGACAGGGGATGTAACCAAGCCACGCGCTGGATGCGATACCTCCCCTCTCATCTGTCCTCACTGGGGACTGAGGACACTCCAATTAAATAAAATCCAATTGGGTAAAAGTCCCAATAATTTAAATTCGCCCTTGGAGTGATGCAATTCTTCCTTTAAACGACTCAAAGAGAAGCGAAAGCTATGCATACAGATAGAGTGATGGGATCTAATGAGCTAGTCCTGTACATTGAAATTATTGACCACATTGTATTTGATGGACATGCTTCTAGAGGGCCTTATCCATGTCAGCGACTGGGGCCTTTCTGATGCCGTGATGGACTCTAGTGACCAGGCTGTCCCAAGCTGCTACAGCAGGTTGTCTGTGCTCTCGCTGGGTAGCTAGGTCCTCCATGTTGTCAGGTGTTTTGTGTATTATGTCACCTCTGTTCCTAGTTCCTTCCCAAAAGCCCTCTCTTTTAATGTGGTGCATTTTAAGGCTGTTAGAACTTGGAGTAAAACTAAGAGTAAATAGTACACACATTTCAGTGCATAAACTTTGTAAATCGAATCCTTTGTAGTTGGCTCAGGACATCTTTTTTATTTTTAACGGTCTTATTCTTGGCTGCGTTCTAGATAACGGAGGCTCTGAACTATGTGATTTGTGTGGGTTAATTCTTTGTTTCTGGGTATAAACGGATGTTAATATGACCAGAACACTTCCTAACCCCGATATTTATCTTCATATTCCAACACTGGCTTTTATTAAGCCCAACATGAGAATAGACATTCTAAAGAGAATGGAGGAGGGGCGCTGATGTGCGTTCATGAAAGGGGCAGGCAGATTGCTGGGTGCTTTATGTATATAAACCTATTTAATCGTCTTCCAAACTCGATGAGGGTGTAGGATTTAACTTACACCTTTATTTAACTATCTAACTCAGCTATTCCTCTGTGAAACCATGTTTTTGCTTTAAAAAAAAGATTTTAGAAAAAAATCTGAATAACTTTAGTAAAAAAATTATTCTCTGAACATGTATTAAAAGTCAAGAGACTTGGATTGTAATTTTGAGTGCATTCCCTGTTGGGCCTGTGACTCTGTCTCCCCTCCAAGTCCCACCTGTAAAATGGGGGGCGGTGGGGTCAGCGGTGGGGAAGGACAAGACATTACCTAAGGTCCTCAGCATGTTGCAGTGATATGATTTTGATTTAAGCCTAATGCGTTACAACTTCCTTCCCTGGTTAGATATTCATCAACAATGAATGGCATGAATCCAAGAGTGGGAAAAAGTTTGCCACATATAACCCTTCAACCCTAGAAAAAATATGTGAAGTGGAAGAAGGCGATAAGGTAGGTGCCCCTTACCCCGACCCCAAGCAATTCAGTTACAGGCAACTACAGGATAAGGGAGCCGGCTGGCTTAGCTGTAAGAGAGAAGAGGCCCCCACTCAGGTGGGACCTACGCCGGCTGCTTCTCAGACACATGGCCCAGAATGGGATCAATTAGGGACGATGTGCTGCAGAAAGTCACTCTCCTTTGATGGATGTTTCTCCCTCGATGAGGATGACCTCAGCTATCCTCATCATGAGGCTTAAAGGAAAGGTTTTTATCAATTATTTGAACCTGGAGGCAATAAAGAATCTTCCCAGAAAGCATTTCCGGCTGGTGGTGTGTTTCACCGAATGCAGCATTCAGGCAGGAGACACTTAAAAAAAAAAAAAAACTTGAATGAAAAAGACTTGAGAACCAAGTCATACAGGGGTAATAATGTCATGTAATCGCCAGATTTTTTTTCTACCACAAACTGAAATGATTGTGTAAAGCTGTAGTCTGTATAACCCTCCTTGATAGTGAAGGGTATATATTATAATATAAGCTATTATATAACATCACTATATAATATAGCATATATTGTATGTGTAGATATTATAATATAAGCTATGTTACATGTTACACTATATAAGGCAGCACATATACTGGGGGTGCCAAAAAAAATGTACAAGTGAACACTTTGGTCAATGTTGCTCAAGCAGTAGTTCGCCGTCATCAGAAGTGTCTGGACACTGATGGGAACCACTTTGAGCACCTCTTGTAGTTGCAGAAGTCAAACGTGACTTGTATTCATTTTTTGTTATCGACATATATTGAGTATTACAATTTTAATAGTATCTTCCTTTCTTAAAATGTGTATACATTTTTTTGGCATCCTCTGTATATAAAGCTAAGGGACTTCAGGATATGTCCTTGATACATTTCAAAACCATGAAGCATCTTTCATCTTTTGCATGTATGTGCCACTGGGGGAAAGGTTGAAGGTAAAGCTTTTCTAAGGAGAGAAGGGAAATGGAAACCTCTTCTCAACCACCAGACATTCTTAATAAGTGGATGGATAATGTTCAACATGGACTGGGTAAACGGCACGTGTAAAATGGGCTAGATTTGCTCCCACCAGCCACAGTTCTATGATAGGTGTGCAGTGCACACTGGCTCCACCTGTACAGACTGTCCAGTGTGCAGACCAACCTCATGCTAAGCCCTATTTACAAAGATGCTCGCACTGAGGAGCTCGTATGAAGATGTGAGGGCTGTAGGGGTGGGGCCATGATGCTGAGCGACTCCTAGGTGCAGCATCCAGGTATCAGGAAGGAGGATGAGACCCATGTCCCAAACCCTGGCTTCTTCTTCGGTCTGAGTGACTGCTCTGAGCACCTGGAGACACAACACAGCCAGCCCTGTAGCTGGAGAGGTCCTGCCTCGACCCCAGAGCCTGAGACAAAAAATTCAAAGTCCTGAGATGCTTTGGAGACTCAGACTCTTGGTAGAGCGTTCCTTGTGACTGCATTGGGGGTCCACTGCCTGATGCAACTCCCTAGAGAAGACAGGCCCCCAGGAGCCTGGGGGATGAGCCATTGCCATCAGCACCCAGAACCGAGAACCCCATTTTCCTAAAAATAAGACTGAGCAACATTACCCTAAACAGCTCTCACTTCTTTCCTTTTAAGAAGAAAGTTCGATTGTAATTCTCCTATCCGTGCACAGGATATCCAGTTCCTTGTCTGTAAAATGGTGCGACAGTTCGGCCCTGGGGCATTAAGTGAGGCTGAGGGAGAAAAGCATTCCTGGTCCTCGCTGTCTTTGGACTTCTCCGATGTGGTCCGTTCTCAGATGCACAGAAGCACTCATGCCCCATTCTCACTGTCGGACCCCAGTCCTCAGCTGGAATAAAGTGCCAGCACAGTCCATCCCCACCTCACTGGGGAGCTGTGGAAGTGTGTATGTCTAAACTGAGTTAGCAAGTGGAAAATCTTTCCCTGCTTGAGTCACCAAGAAAAATACTTCATTACGGTCTGTGGTTTTATAAACTATTTTAAAACATTTTTATAATCAGAAGGAAAGTTAATACTTGGCCATGATAGGAATCTTGCAAAAGACTTAAGATGTAAAGAAAGAAGAAAACTTTCACTTGAAAGCCCCCAGCCGTTGCCTGCCATCCCCTCCTTCCTCTGTGACATGACAGATGCAGGTCTTTGCTCTTCTCTGTAACTGACAGGGGAGCTGTCCCAAACTGCAGTCTCATCAAAAGGTGACATGCTCTCTCTGTTGTTTTGGCCGCTCAGCCCGACGTGGACAAGGCCGTGGAGGCTGCACGAGCCGCCTTCCTGAGGGGCTCACCGTGGCGCCGGCTGGACGCTCTGAGCCGAGGTCGGCTGCTGCACCAGCTGGCTGACCTCGTGGAGAGGGACCGCGCCATCTTGGCCGTGAGTACACACATGAGGGGCAGGCGTGGGACAAGCCAGCCTCCCTGCGGACTCTGTTCCCCACAGGCATGGAAGAAAAGATCCAGGGCGCTGGCTTGGTGGGGTGGTGGGTCTCTTTGGTCCTTTGAGGGGGAGCGCTTTGAGGTAGGCAGGTGCCAAGGCCCCTACACTTGACCCTCTTTGTTTTGAAGTCAGACTTATACTCCCTGCAGTTCAGCTTCTTGACCAAGAAGTTGCCTGGAGGGAGTTCACCTTCTTCGGTGGTTCCCAGACTGGAAACATTCACAGACAGCTGGACGGCCTGGGCCGTATCTTGGTCCTACCTGTGCATTGATGAGCTTAACTTTTTATTTTTACATGGACTCCCTTTTCAACTTAAATTTAACCTCACCCTGAGTGACAACATCCATGAAATCACAGGTTTAATGTGCTGGCTTTAGTTTTTGGAATTCTTATCAAAATAAATGCCACCATTTAACACAGAAAAAATTGTTCCCATGGGACCTAAATATCATCCCTGCATGAGTCTTGAACTGGGTAATGGCAAGCATGTGTAGAGTGATGGTGAGGGTGGGGAAACCTGCTTAGACTAAACCTCAGAGTATGAAAGACCTGGGTTCAAATCTCAGCTCCACTCTACCACTTACTAGCTGTGTGACTTTGGACAAGTTGCTTAACCTCTCTGAGCATATATTTTTTTCATGGAAAATGTCACTAAGTGTTGTGAGAACGATCCATTTAAAATCCTTGGCAGAGTCATTGGCACGCAGTAAACACTAAATGGATGATCGCTGTATTATTGGTAATCGTGGTCCTCGTAGTAATGCTATCTGAAAAGCCAGGTTCTAACTCCAGCCGCATACCCTCCTGGCCAGTAATTTCTAGGTACCTTAGTTTCTCTGCTGTGCAGTCCCCGTGTAGTGGGGCTGCTCCCATGTGACGCTGCTGTGAAGACATGTCTAAGTTGTAAGCGCCCCATTTAACGGGGTCCTCAGACCTTCCTTTGGTTTTGCGGTGAATGATCAGAGGACATCTCGGGGCCACCTTGTGCCTTGAGGTCCTTTGCAACCTGCATATGAAACCCTGTACAGCTCAGACTCCTGTGTAAAACTTGCTTCAAACCTTGAGGCCCATTGGTAGGGGAGGAAATCTCCTTTTTGACTACTGGTTTGGAAAAATGATTCTTTCTTCCTGATCTGATATCAGGAACAAGCAATAGAGTGACATGCGCATGGAGGACGGTCAGCTAGGACACTGGAACTGCTCTTGTCACTGGCTGTGTGTCTTGGGGACAGAAGGTAGAGGAAGTCCCCATCTCAGGTTCTGCTCTTGGGTGCATTGCCCCAAGGGTGCGTCTGCCCTTCCATCCCCTGCACTTGGCAAGTCCAGCATGTTTGCCCCAAGTCTGCGTGAGGGGAGCTCCCTCCCTGGGTTTTCCTCCAAGGAGCCTCTGGTTCCTTCCTGCATGAAAGCCAGCCTCAACTCTCAAGCTGCCAAACTGGCTTTTTCAAAAACATGTCTGTTCTCACCCAGCATGAGCTCATCGGTCTGCAATGCGTGTGGACTCATAGCAGGCTAGAGAGGATGTGCCCTGCGCACCCCTCCCTACCCTGTCCCCAAGTGTCAGCATCATCTTAGGGAGCAGGGGCTGCACCACCACCTTCACCCTCCACCCGCCCCATTGTCTGGCAGGACGGGATTGTGACAGCAGACAGAGCAAGGCGCCTCTGCTGCCTCGCTGCCCACAGGAAGTAAGACCCAGCTCTTTGCCACATCATGAAAGGGACAAGACAGTGACTGGCAAATATGGTTTTTGAAACTTGACCACATCATAGGAAATCACACTGACATGGCTTTCCGGCATTTTCAGGCAGCAAAGTGCTTCTTTCTGTCATGTTCTCTTGCCGACTCTGGTTTTCACAGAGCTGGGTATTTACTTCTGGGTTCAGTGTTTGGAATGAGATGTGGAGGGTCTCGCAACCCCGCTTTCTGTCCCTTACTGAGGCAGTGGGGGCCCAGATTCTCGGCTCTCCCCATCCTCATTTTGGGAGCCCCTAAATAGGGGCCCTCCCTGTTTATTCTCTTTTTTAAGCTGAGCCCCATTTCCGGGCTCCCTCATTTTAAGCCTTGGCACCCTGGGAATCTGGGAGCAGTATTCCCCCATCACTTTTCCTTCATTCTTTAGCGTCTGGACATTCTGATGTTAATTTTCCAGAAGGCCTACTTGTCTCGTAAAATGTCAAAGGAAATAAACTTAGGAGCAGTGGTTTGCTCATGGTCCAGCAACAGCAATGGTTTAAAAGTCTCCACCAGTAGCTACGACTTAATTTCTCAACGTCGGTCCTAGCAACTCACCTGCAAATCTTTTGTTTTATTTCTTTTTAAGAATTTCCTGTCTAAACCTCTCCTGACCCAGTTTTCCTTGGACAGATTTCCTACAACCATCCCAGCAAATTCAATTTAATAATGAGAAGTAGTCAGTGCTTGGTGACAGCCCACCAGATACCAGGCTTGTTGTAGGCACCTCACCTGTGATACTTATTATCCCATTTCAGAGATGAGGAGGACCCTGAGGCCCAGAGAGGTTAGGTGACCTGTCCGAGGTTACCCAGCCAGAGACGCCTCGCGGGTCCCCTCAATGGCATGCCACAGTCCTCATCTTTCTCTGCCTTTCCCAACCCAGAAAAGGGCCAAGAATAAACCACTGGCTCCTCCAACAGATACGCAGATGCTGTCTGCAGTAACCCAACCCTGGAACCATTTTGGCATGATTTGGCATGGTTTCCCCCGGGAAAATAAAAGTTCCACCTTGCACCATAAATCCATAAGAGCCAAAGGTATAGTGTGCTGGATGTCACTTGGCCTGGCTTGATCCCTGAGCAGCATCTGCAGGGGGTAAGACGTCCCACCCCCAGACCAGCCCTATTGTCTTCAGCAACTCACAGTCCTGTGTTCTCAGTGTCCCCAAGGGAGGATTGCCGGGCATCAGTCTGGTCCCTAAAGGGACAATGGTCATAATCATATTGGTTATTACTGCCATCATTTCAACAGTGGGCAAGAACTGTTGTTAGTGCTTTATGGGTATTAACTCCTCTAGCCCTCCCAGTGGCCCGGTGAAGCAGCCACTATTACTACTATTATTCTCATTTTACAGATGAGGAAACCGTGGCAGGGAGAGATTCAGGGAGTTGCCCGTGCTAGGGAAGTGACTACCTCCTGGTTCAAGGATTCTCGAGTCCAACAGAGTAGCCAAGCATCTCGCATGGCCGTCCTACAGTCTTTCCGGATGCAAATGTCCAGGGCAGTGGCCTAAAGAATGGTCACTGTCCTAGCTGGACATCAGATGCCCCAAGTTCAGCGCCGGTCATGCCACTGACCCGCTGGATGACCTTGGAGGAGTCACGGGCTCTGTGAGCCTCCATGTCTGCACCTTGCAGCGGAAACACAGCTGTCAAGCTCAGAGATGAGGCGTATGGGTGCGCACGCCGGGGGCCTCTCTTTCTTTGCAAACCATCCTCTCACTGCATCAACTAAAACGAGTATCCTGCCCTGGGCTATGTGTCAGGGTGGCCACTTCCTGCAGACACAGATGACGGGCGGTTTCAGCACTGGGCTCAACTGGGGCTGCTTGTCTGAGGGACAAAGGGGTCCTCTGAAACCCGGGCTGGAAATAGAATAGAATCCTCGCCATTGAGCAGCTGCACGCTCGCCCTGGGTAATCACCTCCCTCACCGCCGAGGGCCAGTCCGCTCCCTCCCACTAAGCATCCGGCTACGAGGCCCAGTTAGGGAGCGCTGCGTCTTTGTGCTGGTGGCACGACCCCTCTGGGCTCTGTCAGTCACTCTTTCCACAGCTGGTCAGCTGGGCCAAGAAGGAAGAACCCATATTCTCCCTTTCTCTTTTGTTAGAGGAAGCCAGCCAGTCCGCTCTCCAGCTAATCTTTTGAGAATTTCCCAGGAATGTACAGACCCAGGTGGCCAGGTCACACAGCTGAGGCAACTGTGCTCCACGCAGAAGACCAAATGCTCGAGTGTCGCCCTTTCCAGTGAGGCTTCAAACAGCCTTGCTCCTGCTGTCCTTTGTGGGGACGGACACCTATGCTCTGGCTGACCCCAGCTTTAAGTGTTTTGAAATCAAAGCATCCTTGACTGTCCAGGACAAGTCTAATTTTAAATGCAGTGTCTTACTTTCTGAAGAGACACATAAGACTGGGAGGCCCGGAGAGCCATGTCATAGGACCACGCTCTCTCCCCCAGCCCACCCCGCCGTTCTTAACAACCTGACAGGTAACAAGAAAAAGAAACTATCTGAGACTGACATCTTTTTCATTGCAGACCCTGGAAACGATGGACACAGGGAAGCCATTCCTTCAAGCCTTCTTCATCGACCTGGAGGGCTGTATCAAAACCCTGAGATACTTTGCAGGGTGGGCAGACAAGATACAGGGCAGGACCATCCCCACAGGTGAGCCAGCGCTGGACTCTCAGCCACAGATGGGGTCTTTTACAGGCTCTGTCTTCCCATTCCTCCAGGGGGCCTCTTCAGAGTGCCCCTGGCCTTCTCCCCCCAAAAAGAAATGGTGCTGTGCCAGCCTTTCCTCTAAGGAATCTTACATTTGAAATTGAGTTTAAAATCGCTTCTTTGTGTAATACACAAGACTTAGAGCTGACACCATTGTGGGCCTCTGGGTTTCTTTCTTGTCTTTTTACTGTTTAAAGTTTTTAACCTAGATTAATGTGAGAACCCTTCTCTCCTCCTTGTAACCCCTCTTCCAGATGACAACGTTGTGTGCTTTACCAGGCATGAGCCCGTAGGCGTGTGTGGGGCCATCACTCCCGTAAGTACGCGGCTGTTCTAGATAGATCTGTGTAGATCTCCCCTCCCCCACCCTCACTGCACGCCCCTGTGGCCTTTGGAACCAATCACAGGTGTGTTCTCGTTTGATTGCACCAACATTAATGAAGCATGTGCTCTGTGGCACGGAGCTTGGTACCTGAGGGCTATCAAGATGGATTAGACCCCATTCCTGGGAGACTCCAGGAGAGCAACAGAAGGCACCACGGATTCCAAACAGAGGGGCCAGGAAGGGCCAGCACCCCTAGGGTGGCGGTCTCGTAACCGAGCCTTGAAGGATAAGAAAGAATGTTCAGGAGAGAGGGTTTCCAAGCAGAAGGAATGGCCTGAGTGAGGGTGTGGGAGTGCCTGGGCGACTTGTAGGCAATAGCAGGACAGCTGGTGCGGCCAGAGCTTAGGAGCAGGAGACATGAGGAAGAGGAGGAGTGCATGTGTCAGGTGCCACTTGGGCTGCTGAGGGCTCGGGACTCTAGTCACTGGGCAGTGGCAGGTGCCTGGCAGGTGCCAGGGGATACTGCTTGTCTGTTGGAGGAAGTCCCAGGCCATTGCGACAGCTGGCCAGGGAGCTGGGGGACAGGCGGCCGTGTGCAAACAGATTTGCGAGCCCGCTATGTGCCGGGCATGGCACTGGAGCACCAGGTATGGGAGACATGAAAGGAAGGGCCTGGCTTTAGCCCCCGAGGAACTTGTTGATCAGTCAGAAGGAGGAATCCCCTGCAGAAGAAACAATACGACAGGAGTCACTGAAGGGCCCAGCAGAGGTGTGGACTGGAAAGCATCTTAGGTGGTAGAGTTGTGGTTTCGTGGTTAACCAGACGTTGGGGGTGAGTCCCGGCTAGCATTGGGTGGCTGGTGGTGCTGACTGTTGAGATGGGAAGACTGGGGGAGAAGTAGGTTGGGGGTGGAGTGAAATGGAAGGTGATGACAATCCTGGCAGGGGACGTTGAGGGGACAGCCAAGCAGAGGGTCCCATTAGACGTCTGCATAGTTGGGTCTGGGGCTCACAACTGAGGCAGGGATGGAGGTATGCAGAGTCGATGGCCAGCCCAGAGGTGCTCCTGCCCATCAAGCTGAGGGGTCACCCAAAGAGGGGGGTAGAGTGAGAAAAGCAGAAGGCCTGGGGCCAAATCCCCCAGACCAGCAGGGACCCCACTCAGAAGCCTGAGCAGCCAGGGGCAGTGTCATCCCAGGGGATGAATACATTTCCAGAAAGATACTGTGGTCAGTGGGGTCATATCCTACTTAGAAATTAAAATAAAGACAGATGCAGCTGTTGGATTTGCTCGCCGACAGCAGCGTCGGGGAGTTTCAGGTACAGACGGAGCCAAATTGCAGGGGCTTTCATAAAGGGAGCTGGGCACATGGCTACAGCTCTTTCAAGAAGTTTCAGTGAGAGAGCGGGAAAGGAAGTGCCAGGAGGGGAGGCCTCAGGAAGTTACCTATTTTAGGATGGGAGAGGTGAAGGTATTTCTGAGCTAAGGAGCAGGAATTCAGCAAGAAGAGGGAACCTCATCACTAGTGGGGGAACAATTCCTGCTGTCATTTAGCTGAGCCCTTTGGAATCTGAGTTGCATATGTTGGTTGTCCAGTGGCAGGAGTATCAGACGGAGCTGGGGGTGGAGGTGGAGGGAGAAATTTGAGTGGCCGAGTGGCCTTACCACTAGGTGGCCACCTCTGATCAGCCCCACAGGGAGTGGTTTGCAGATGGGCTCTTCTGTCTGCATCCTTGGGGGATACAGAACCAAAGGAACTCTTTTGGGGGTGGGGGTTGAGGACAGCTAGAATCAAGCAAACTGCGCTGTTAGAGATGGTTGGTTTCATCTCCTCTTATCAAAGATGATACTTTGAGAAACAGTGTAGCAAAGAGGACACATGCCTGGCCTTCAGCTGCCGGCTTGTGACCTTGGGCCAAGGTGACCTCACTCTTCTTTGCCCCATTCCCCTCTGTAAATGGGAGTGATAATATAAGCATCTCATACTTGCTGTAGGGATCCAATGAGTTAAATTTTATGAAGAGCTTAGAACAGTGCCTGGTACACAGCGATCACCCAGCAGGCATTATTGTTAGGCTTGTTGTCAGGGTGACCCCAGTATCTTTGCCTCTGTAATTGAAAGATGACAAGAAAAGCATTCCTCAAAATGAATTTCACAAAGCACCAGTTCATTAGGGAGTTAATATATATGCTGCGAGAAGAGAAAAAGCTTGTATGACATTGGAGTTTCAGAGAGTCAGGCCTTGTTCCTGCAGGACTTTTCAGAGCCTTTAACATGCCAATGGCATTATAAACCTCTAAGAGGAGAAGGTAGTGCATGGACAGTGGAATCCTCTTTGCAAGGAGTAGCTATTAGCATCTCCCAGGATGCACTTTGGAAGTGCTGGGCAGCAATGCTGTTCCGATCATTGCACACTCGTATGTGACCCCTTATACCCCAAATCTAGACCATGCAAAGCAAGTGTCTTCTATAGAGGCATCGTCGGGCATCTGGGAGAAGGTAGCAGAGTGGATCCAGCCACCCCCACACACACACAAGTTCCTATGCTCTGTTGCAGTGGAATTTCCCTCTGCTGTTGTTGGTGTGGAAGCTGGCGCCCGCTCTGTGCTGTGGGAATACCGTGGTGGTGAAGCCGGCCGAGCAGACACCCCTCACCGCCCTGTATCTTGGCTCTCTGATCAAAGAGGTAAGTCATCCAAAAAGAAGCTAGTATAGGTTCTTGATAACATTCCCACTCCTAGAAACCAGGCCACTGACCGTCACAAGATCAAGCTGCTCCTCCGAGCTGTGCTGTGTGTGACAACGCCGCCTGCTCTCAGCTGAGTGGCAAAGGAATGGCTCCTGTGTTGCACTTGGCAGCTGCCCGTCCTTCTTCCTGCCTGTGGTCGCTGAGCTAGAAGAAACTCCGTTCCTCCCACTGATCCTCATGAGAAGACTTAACTGTCATTATGGGCTCAACCCTACACTTTAGGATCAAATGTTTTCGCTAGAGAGTTTGCAGGAGGGTCACGTGGGAGGGACTCAATAGTTGGAGGTTCTTCAGGTCTTGCATTTGTGCTGTATGGAATGGTCCGTGTTTCTCTTGGAGGGGTGATCTTGGCAGCTCCCGCTGAAGTGGCTGTCACTCAGCCAGACTCACCAATGCTCTGCTCTCGGGCAGGCAATTGTCCCCTCCCCTGGGCAGCCACCACTCAGGGACACAATCGGCCCAAAGGAATGCCTCCTTCTGGACACATTGGGCAACACATCTCAGTTATTCTGTTCCCAGCTTGACAGTCACAAAGATGTGAAAGAAGAAACATGAAGAAAAAAGGGACAGGAGAAAAGATCCATTCATTTCTCTTCTCCGCCCGGCTAATAGAATCAGGACTCATGACCTTCGTTGCTTAGATGGAAGGTTGGAGCAGCCAGGAATTGACTGGTTTCCCACTTTCCTGGGCCCAGTGATGTCGGACATGATTAAGTCATCTTAATGAGCCTTGGAGATTCTCAAATCACAACAGTGACAAAACAGTGTCTAGAAAAAGTGACGTCTCAAGCACCATGTCCTAAAACCTTGTCTTTTGAAAAATGATGGGTTTCAGGTAAGGCACTGGGCCTGTGGGGAATAGTGTCCCCCACCTCGGCCATTTGTGATGTTGAGAAGCCTTGGGTGTGCAAAACACGAGGCATGAATGTGAAAAAAGTGGCAGCTCTGGGTGAGGCCCAGGTTCAACAAGCAAGAACTTTGAAGGAGTGAGTGACATCTTGTTGCCATTTGGAGCATTCATGGGGCAGATCTGAGATACAAAAATGGAAGCTCAGAAATGATATTTTGTAGGTGGCTCTGAGCCTTGGGGGTTGTCACCAAGGTGTCCCTTTGCCCCAACACACACACACACACACACACACACACACACACACACGTGCACACACTGAATGGTGCCACCACCCTTTTTGCTTAGAGGCCTTTTGGGGATGGAAACTGCTGCCTGAAAAAAGGGGTGTGTGCCTCGCCCAGCTTGTACCCTGGGCCCTGGGCTGACTGGGTTTGGGTCTTGCTGGGTGGGTGGGTGACCCAGGCCCAGACTTGCCACTCTGCTTGGGGTCATCACTTAGCCATGTCTCTCTCGGCCCAAGGGCGGGTCCATGGCAGACACTGGCCCCTCCTCTTCCTCTGAATGCCACCTTCTTTTCCTCCCAGGTCGGGTTCCCTCCAGGCGTGGTGAACATCGTGCCAGGATTTGGGCCCACAGCTGGAACAGCAGTTTCTTCTCACCCTCAGATCAACAAGATAGCCTTTACGGGGTCCATAGAGGTAAAGTTCCTCTCTGGCTGTTGGCAAACGTGACTGTCCCTGCATGATCTGAGACCTGTGAACTCTTCCTTTGAGGGGCTAACCTATGATTTATTTCCCTTCTAAATTTGACTATATTCTAGTATGTAACAATCAGCTTTTAAGAAGCCACCGGTCCAGTTTCCAAATGAAATAAACAGCTCCTAGAACTCAGAAGCATTAAGAGAAACACTTCGTAGATAAGATAAAATGAAAATGTAAAACATCCATGTGACAACATAGTAATCAAGGTTAAGAGGTAAACGACCTAAGCTGGGAGAAAGACAGTCATCATTTATGTAGCTCCCAAGGGTTAACATCTGTAATATGTAAAGCGCTCCTAAAAATCAATGAAAACATAAAAGGACAAAGCTGAATGGGGACAAAGTGGACAGCTCCGAGAAGAGACATACTGAATGCCCAGTGAGCTCGACCTAGTTCACTGGTAATCAGAGAAGTGCAAATTCAAATGAAAATCACACTCTTCATCTTTTGTCTGTCAGGCTGGTAAAAGCTGAAGTGGGGTGTAAACAAGGCTAAGAGGAAATAGGCACTGGGAAAGAGCAAAGTGGTGGTACCCACCACAGACTAGAAGGTGGAAAGCTTTTGATGCAGAAATTTCATTTCAAAGCAACTACTTAGAGAAATACAGGAACACCTTGGTTTGTGACCATAATTCATTCCGGAAACAAACTACTCGTATTGCAAGACATTGCTCGCTTACCATGTTAAAATGTATTACAAATGTTTGCTCGTCTTGTGGAACACTCGCAAACTGCGTTACTCACAATCCAAGGTTTTACTGTACTCTCATAGCATTCATGGATGTATTTTCCAGTATGTTATGTCTGTTCTACACGATGTTTTACAGCCATTACAATAAGGAAAGTTGTCCATGATCTATTGTTGTAACACACACACACACACACACACACACACACACAAAACTGTAGGAAAGTCTATTCGATGTAATCCTATTAGTAAAAGTGCGTGTGGAGAGAAATAGGAATTGTCTGAAAGGATTCCCAAGAAATCCTTACCGTAGCCACCTCTGGGGCTGGTTCGGGGATGACAGGAGATGATAACGTCCACCCTTTCATTTACACGCATCTGTATGTGGAATCGTTTTTAATGAGAAGCTACTTCCTCCATACTTGAAACAGAAACAAATGAACACTTCCTGTGCAATAAGTGTCCCCATGTCCTAGCTGACTCCAGCCAGGAGCTCAAGCCACCCTCCTGCCATCGCTCTCCTTTGCTGGCCAGGGTGAGCGCTGTTACCAAAGTGTAGTCAGAGCCGAATTGGGGCCCTGCATGGCATTCAGGCAGCCAGCCGTGCTCAGCATACGGAATGGAGTAGCAGCAGCTCCACACCCGGGGAGACAATGGGCGAAGAGGTGCCAGGTGTGGTTCCTGCCTGCCAGCTGCCCACAGCCTTCCCAATCTCCTCATCTAACAGCAAAATCAGCCCTGCCCTGCCCCCGCCTGGCTTCTCTACAGAGAGGCCCGGACTGGGTCTAGGTCACCTTAGGGCTGCTCAGGGGTGCAGCCAGGCGGTGCCCCCACTTGGCAGCCATCGTCATGGACAAGAAAGTGGCCCCTGTGGCTTTCCCACCCTGGGCCCCCCTGCTGCAGGCATCCAGCTACAAGAGCACCCCTCAACCCCGCAAAGGAATGGCCAGCCTGGGGCAGGCTGGTTTGGCTTCTGTTGTCTACCTGGGGACAGTCATTGTCACTGTGGACCTATTCCAGACCATCGTCCACAAGCTGGCTGATTTTTAAAATGCACTCTCACCTTCGTTTGGGGGGAAACAGCCTCTGCCTAGGAGGAGCGCAGCCTTTCCTCTTGCTAACTGCCTGACCTGGACCTCCGTGTGCTAGCTGTTCCCTGAAAGCCTTCCCAGCTTTGAGTTCACGGTGCCTGGCTTTGCTTGTCACCCAGGACAAGTCACCACGGCGTGCTGGGCCAAGCCTACACTCTAGCGGCACGTGAGATGATAGGAGGGACCCTTCAGGTACACGTGTAGTGTTTCCACAGAATTGACTTCTCACCGTGACGGGCAAAGTCCTCCTCCCTGTTTCCCTAACCCTCGGAGGCTCCCTCTGATTACACCAAGGAGCCCAACAGAATGGTCTCCCCTACTGGCGAGGGTTGGACGAGCTGCCCCTTTGTCCCTTGGAGCCCTTTCTCAGATTCCCTGGACCAGCCTGCTGCTGGGAGAGGCAGCCACCAGGACAGGGAGTCGCCAGCTGCACGGCTAGCCAGCTGTGTGGCTGGGGGTGAACCGCTGGGCCTCCCAAAGGCTCCACTCCACCCCTGTAAGTGGAGCCACTCGAACCCATGGTTCCAGCCATGTGAATGTCTCCTGGGAGTGTGGCAACAGCGTGCAGGCTCACAGCTCCTGGGCAGAGAGGCGGGGGCCCTGGCCGCTCAGAGCTCGCTGCCTCCCGGGTTTCTTCAGAAAGTTTGGGCCACATCCAGCCACGTCCAAGGTTTAATCTGGTCTGTTTTTCTATCCTGAAGGTTGGAAAGCTGGTTAAAGAAGCTGCCTCCAGAAGCAACCTGAAGAGGGTGACCCTGGAGCTGGGGGGGAAGAACCCCTGTATTGTGTGTGCTGATGCCGATTGTAAGTCTCTCCCTGCTGGGGTCTGCTGAGGCTTAGGGGGTCATGAGTCCTTTCCTGAATCCAGAACCAACACACACACACACACACACACACACACACACACACACACGAGGTACTTTTCCACTGTAGGCCACCCTGCCCTAAATAGGCAGACGATCAAACACCAGCGTTATTGCTGATAAAAAGCTGTGTTGGAGGTTGTGTCTTAGGTGGTCGCCAGGGGTCTGCCTGTTGCCACCCTTTGTGGTTAAGTTTACCTTCCCTGTCCCTGAGGAGCAGGGTCCATGAGGACAAGGTCACTTTCTCCAGAGGCCCTGTACAGGGGGAGGGATGAAAGGAGGGGGCAGGTGTGCCCCACTCGGAGGCGTTCATCAGTATTTCCTATAGCTCTCAGGCTCTCCAAAGACTTGAGCTATTTCTTTCTCTTTGTCTCAGGCCTTTGACAAATCAGAGCAGGACAGTGGCAGCTGACCCTTAAAAATACCCCCTGGTCTGGGTACTTTTTCTGCCTCCACTACCCTCTCCCTGGGAAAGCAACCCTGCCCAGCAGGTTAGGGGGCAATTCATGTCTTGCTAGAGCCTCATGATACAATATTAAAATATATGCTTTTCTTGGCTGCCCTGTCCAGAAGAGGGGAAAAAGGGCCACATTGGGCATTCATTTATCTGCTGACAGGGTCAGCTGTCAAAAGGTGCGACTTCCCCAGTACCCTGAAGCACCTGTGCCTTGAAAAATAGCCTCCCCCACCTGCCCAGGGGTGCCAGAAGTTCCTTTGGTGGAGAACAAAGCCTTCATTCACACTCAGATAAGGCTGGAATTGCAAATATCCCTGAGAAAAATGGCTCTAGCACTGTTTTTCACTAAGATGTAAATGACTGATATCCTTCCTCTCCTGGAAGCTGGTTTGCAATAGGAGAGACGATGAGTGAGGAAACAGGCTCCAAGGAAGGGAAGGGGAGCTGGGTGTAAAGATGGGACGCTCTGTTTTTATGTTTTTGTTTTGCTTTTTTTTTTGCCTGAGTTGGTGCCCCCTGGGGAAGCATCATGAGTATTGCTAATGGTTTCTGGAACCACAAGGAGCAGTAATGGGTGTTGTCCCCCTGTGACCCACATTTGGCATTCCAAACTCCAATCCGAAAGGGCCAGGACGCCTGTTTAGCTACGTGCTGCACATCTGGGTGCCCTGTCTGCACCACAGCTCACCCTCTTTTCCTCCCAGGGAGGAAAGCTACAACGAAAACACAAGACTCCTTCTGTTGGAAGGTTGGTCTGACAAGGGTCGTCAACACCCTGTGTAGCCATGTTCTGCTCATGTGAGCAGTGCCAGGCCACAGAATTAAGTGCTGACGTAACTGGCATTCCAGGCATGATATCAATGATAACATACCACCATGCCCAGCCCTTCAGCCCCCACCCAGCTCCCATCAGGAAATGAATTAGTTATTTTGGAGAAAGGGCTTTTTTAAGTTGGCATGAAGAGGGTGGGGGGGTGCAGGGAGGGGCAAAAACCTTGTGATGCTATCCTGCTGCCATAGCAACTGAAACAGAAGCCAGTCAGCCGTGGCCTTGTTCTCAAAGCCACTGGACGGCCTTGCTAGCAGCTGCCCCGAGAGCAATGCTGGGTGTCCGTGCATCACCAGCTAATACCCCGAGGGTCCTTGCTTTTGCTCTGTGCAAAGGAAATCTGTGTTTCTTAAGCAAACATTGCGGTGGGGTGAGGGTGCTGAAAAACCAGTGGATCACTGGGAGGATCACTCCATGAATGTAAATACCATTCCACTCATTCTTACCCAGTAAGCTGGTCCCCAAAGATCTCACTAAGCCCCCTTCTAGCTTGGTTTTCGTAACTGGTTTTAATTCGACACCAGCCCTACAATTCAGATTCTGTCCCTGTCAGGCAGAATCAGCACTTGGTTTAACTCTTATGAGTCACACATGGTGTTCTGTTCCTTTAATGGGGCCCTTCTGTTACTCAAGGTGGATAATTTGGGTTCCTTTAAAAGTTCTCGCCAATTGGCCTACATCGATACTTAGCAAAGGTTATTCTATAGCACATTAGTCCTCCAGAAAAGGGGGAGTGGCCAAGGGACACTGGGGACTGTGACAACTCTCTGTGCTTATTAGCATAGTAAAGACTATGAAAAGTCCTGCAATCAGGACCTGTTCAACCCCAAACTCTGCCGGCCCAGAAGTCCTCTTGCCCGTCTTCTCTGTGCTTGGAAAATGGCTGAGGACAAACTTAATTTCTGAAATCCCGGAGCCTGTTTTCCTGTGTGGGCAATTAGCGTGGCAGCTGTGGCCAGGCCTGCCCTAACAACATAATCGCTTCCTGTTGCCCCCGCCGCCTCCGTCCTCCCTCCAGTGGACTTGGCAGTGGAGTGTGCCCATCAGGGAGTGTTCTTCAACCAAGGCCAGTGCTGCACAGCTGCCTCCAGGGTGTTTGTGGAGGAGCAGATCTATGCGGAGTTCGTCCGGCGGAGCGTGGAGCATGCCAAGAAGCGGCCCGTTGGAGACCCCTTTGATGTCAGGACGGAGCAGGGGCCCCAGGTAACCTATTGACCGGGGGCCTGAGTCGTTGGGGTGCTCTGTGATTCCAGGGTCCCTCTCAAAGCTGAAGGGAGGCTGATGTGCCCTGCCACTTGAGGCTTTTGTTTGGATGCTGACCAACAGTCCAATTCCATCAGGTCTCGGGGGTTATGAAATTGGGCTGGGCACACAGAGGCTTTGTGCTTTCTTTGCAGGAGATAATGCCAAGCTTGGGGCCTCACCAGGAGGGAGGCTTTCCGAGTGCATAAAGCCATGTGCCTGCACCCTCTAGCCAGAGGACTGCTCCTCTGAGCTACCGGGGTCCCCAGGACAGAGCCTCAGGCAGAGGCTGTCTTGCCTGCAGAAAAGGAGTTGTAACTCTGGCCAGAAGGCAGCAGAGCACAGGGTGGGCAGTGCCTGGCGCTTGTGGTCTCCGCCTAGATGCCCCTGAGGACAAGGTGACCATCAGAAACCAGTAAATCCCAGTGCAGAGAGCTCAGGGTGCAGGGTGTATCACCAGGCACGTGTCTCTGGAGGCCGGGTGTGAGAAGTCAATGACAGGATAGAAATGCTCATAACCACAAGGTTTTGTAACCTCTTTAAAAGGGCACATTCTGTTTCACTCTCTTACTAATTCTGCAGCCCAGCATGTGGAGAACTATTTAACAGAGGGCATCCTGAGCATCTCATGCATTATTGAAATGGAGCTCGGCTGCAGCTCACTTTGCTCATAGCCAACATCCAGCCAGGCCATAAAGTTTCAAATCACGTATCAAGACTCAGCCTCTTAACTTGCGTCTGTCCCAGGAGCTTGCCGCTTATCCCCGGCACCTGCCCCAAGTGTTTACTCAGAAAGCTGACGATCTGAGCACACGTTTGGCTCTGTGATCTTGTGGAAGTTCCGACCTCAGTTTCCTCAACTGGAAAATGGGAGTCATTGATGGCGATTAACGCACAATGCACTACACAGATATGTTATAGAATGGTACACTGGAAATCTATATAATTTTACTAACCAATGCCACCCCAATACATTTAATACGAATTAAAAAGAAAATGTCAAGGCACCTATTAAGTTTTTATTTTTTTTTAAGTGGGGAGCATTAAAGGATAGGCTCCCTGATCTAGGTGGCAGTGAATAGCTGTGCACAACTTCAGGTCATTTCCCTCGGGTCTTGCTTGACCTGGGGGGATGCTCTGGCTAGGGACTGGAGGACCACGTGGAAGAGGTGCTTTCTGGCTACAGTGCCCACCCCTGCTGTGTCCCAGCCCACATGCTCTACAGCTCTGATGTCACGTGACCCTGGTGGAGAGAAGCATCTCCTGCTTGGGGTCAACACTCCCCGTCCTGCCTGGCCTCTGCTCCAAACCCAGTGGCCCATGGCACAAAAGTTGTACAGAGACTTTGGTTAGGTTCCAGATCTGAATGCAAATATGGCTACAAGTTATTATCCAATCCGCCGTGATTTTAAAGCTAACCCAGGGTCCATGGGAAAATATGTGAGCTGATCCCGTATGAAAGGAAATTCTTTTCACCCCATCATTATTCGTGAGTCTCTTTCCAAGGCTGCAGTCTTGACTTTTGAAGACAGATATAGAAACTTCTTCCAAGAGAGAAGATCTTAGCAGAATGGGTGTTGATTTCATCAGCGCTTTTGATGCGTCTGCTGAAAGTTCTTTTTGAAAGCTCACTTAAGCCATCCAACCTCAGCATATTATTTTAGGATGCTGTGGGATTTTTTTTTCTCCCAAAGTGCTTTTTCATCTACGGTAATGAGATTTTACTCTGGGAGGACTTGCAGCTGTCTAAATAGTTCGGCCTGTGTCATGCCTGTGAAACAGCTCGCTGACCTAGATCCGTGTCCACTGCAGGCAAGCCGCTCTCTGGAATGCTCCAAAATCATTCAGGTTTACTTGGCAGCTGAGCAACGAGGCATATAAACATCACGCAGGCCACCTGGCAGGCCGGATCCGGCATCCTCCCCAACAGGCCAAGGGTGGCCTGTGACCGGTGCTGGGGGGCCGTATTTCTCTGTCTCTGGTGGTGTGCCCTGCCGCGTCCTTCACTTCCGGCAGGCTCTCCTTCTTGCCTTGCCATGAAGCTGACGTTTCATGGAAGAGTGTTGGATTTAAACAATGTGTTCACATGGACTCGCCAGGGAGAGCTGAGCAGGCGTGCAACCTGGTCCAGCAGCCACGCAGGATCTGGAGTTTGATGAAGCAGGGAAAGCCCTCTCGACCTTCCAGGAGGAGGAGAGAGCAACACCTGCCGCTTTTCACTTAAGACTTAGGCGTTGAGAGAACCTGGAGATGTGTCACTGGGTCATCGGTGGCAATTGTATGAATTCCTTTTTTAAGTGGGAGTACCCACCTATGGGTCCAAAAACCCCAAGACACATGTAAAGGTCAATAGTGGGAAGGCTTCATCTGTCTGTCCACTCTGCTCCATTCTCAGGCCTGGTTCTCACCCTTCCCGCCAGGATTTCTTTATGTGTTTACAAGCAAATATAAATATGGGTTCTGATTCCCCCTGTTTTTACCCAAAAGATAACTGTGATATCTATACTGTTTTGCACCCAGTTTTTGGACCCAACAAGAAATGTTAAAAGCATCCCATGCCAATCCATTGGGAACCTGCCTCCTTCTTTGTCATATGTCCCTATGTATGAATCCACGGGGATTCAAATAACAAGTTCTGGTGAGCCTGTGGACATGTGCAGAGTATGTCATTTCGAACACATGCGGTGGGATCCGCGGGACAGATTCCCCAAGTGGGGTTGCTGAGGGAGAGCACATTTGTAATTTCTACAAGCATTGCCACGTTGCCTTCGAAGAGGATGAACCAACTCACATTCCTTCCAGCCTTGCAGAAGCTTTTCTACTTGTCCAGACATACTAACAGAAGGTGAATGTGTGCCCATCTGATAGTTTAAACTGGCATCTCGTTTGGCTTTCATAGGCATGTGTCTCTTATAATGAGTAAGGTAGGATATTTTATCAGATCTTCAAAAGCCACGTGTATTTCCTTTTCCATCCGCTGTGCATGTGGTTTGCATATTTTTCTTTTATCTTGCTGGTCATTTTTCTTATCGCTTCTAAGAACTATTTATCTACTAGAGAGATGAGCTCCGTTTCTATGATATGACGTGTCATTTTTTTTCCAGTTTGTGTTGCCTTTTGACTTTGTGATGTTTTTACATATATGTATATATTTATAATTTGCATATGTATATATTTAAATTTATCAACCTTTTCTTTTTGGATTCTGGATTTCGAGTCATAGAAAGGCCATCAGCTCTCCCAATTTACAGAGACATTCTCTCACATGAGAGAATTTGAAAACTTTTATGCTTTCATTTTTCATGGTTAAGTCTTTGGTCTCTTTGGAATGTATCCTGGTATAAAGTGTGAGGCGTGGATCTAACTTGGTATTTTAACACTGGACCCACACGCACATTTCATGAGAGGACTGGTCAAGTGACATGGTGGTTTGTGCCCACCCCTTCTAAGAAAGCCAGCATGCCCCTCAGGGACAGGCAGTCATCCAAATGCACCATTGGGATTGCTTATTTTTTAAATTTAAAGTCGTTTAAATGAAGCCAGTTTTTCTGTCTAAAAATCTCAGCCGCAGCCAACCTTTCAAAGCTCTACCTCTCCCAGCCAAAGAGGAGGGCATTGGCCACCAGGGATGGGCAGGAACATGACTCCTACTGATTGGAGAAGAAGGACTAGTGGGGGTGGGGAGAACACGCCCCGCTGTGAGCAGAATTTCCCAAAGGGGTGTTCTGTGACAGCTGCTTGGGGACCATGTCCCCGAGCAGGACACACTCTGGCCCGGGAGACCCCCAGACAAGGTATCAAATGGTAGAGCCTTTCTGGTGAGCCAGCTCCCCACCAACTGAGGTGCAGCCCCTCCACCTTAACTTGAGCCTCAACCACGCTGTTTCCAGGGATGCTGAGTACGGTGACCAGCTTTCCTTCTCACTTCTCCTCTGCACCGTGGACGGAGATCGATGGTGCCCTGTGAGCAGGCACAGGGTTGCCAGATGACATACATGGCACCCAGTAAGATCTGAAGTTCAAATGAACACTGAGTGCATTTTTAGCATAAGTATCTCCTAAAGATTGTTTGGGAGACGCTGCTACTAAAAAGAAGAAAAAAAAAAGAAAAAGAAAAAATTATCCTTGTTTTTCAGAAATTCATATTTAACTGGGCACCCTGTAGTTTTATTTGCTAAATCTGGCCACCTTTGCTGGATGCAGAGAGTTGGGAGAGCAAAGAAAGCGACATATCCCACACCTGGCGAGGCTGAGCAGAGCCTAGCTCCCCTTCCCCCAGCTCTTGGTGGAACATTTGAATCCAAGGCACATTTGTTCCATGAATGATTACTTGGCAGGAGCTTTTCGGGTAGGACAGCCAACATTGTAGAAGGTTGTTGGACACATAAGGGGGCAGCCACTGCCTGGAAGGAAACTGGGCTGTACTTCCTGTTGTGTTTTGCAGATTGATCATAAACAGTTCGACAAAATCCTCAGTCTAATCGAGAGTGGGAAGAAAGAGGGAGCCAAGCTGGAATGTGGAGGCTCAGCCATGGAAGACAGGGGTCTCTTCATCAAACCCACGGTCTTCTCGGAAGTTACCGACACCATGCGGATTGCCAAAGAGGAGGTACTGAGGCTGCAGGGGGAACTACGCCCATGGGGCCTTGTGCTGAGCTGGGGGACTGAGGCGGGGTGGCTTGTGGCTAGGCCTGTCAAACAGGGATCTTCTCTGGGGCTCAGGGATCTTAGAAGTCTTTGCAAGGGAAGCGTCTCACTTTCTGGTGTGTCCTTTTCCCTCTCTGGGGTCCTTGGGGAAACATGTGGCCCCCCTGCCTCTGAAAACCGCTAGCCCTGTATAGAGGGTGGTAGTATGTCCTAAACACCGGCTTTCCAGTCATCATTCATGGTCTCTGTTTTCTAACATGTCCTAGAGTGGAAGGCTATTGCCACCTATGGGTTTTGCCAGGAATCGTGGACTTGGGTCTTTTGGGCCTTTCATCCCTCAGACTGAAATTAAACGACAAGTATGCATTCAAAGAATGCACCACGGAATTCCCTTTGAAGTTTTCCATCACGGCCTCCCTGGAAATGGTGGATATTAAGGAGACCCCATAAGAGTGTACCTCTAACTTTGTCTTTCAAGCCCACGGTTAAGCTAGATGGAAACCGGTCCTCACCCAGGACCCAGGTGGTTTGGACCCTGGGATGCCATCCTTTGGGACATATAAAGAGTGAATCACTATCAAGGGCTTCTTATGTGGGCATTTTATAGACTTTCTCCTTGAGATTTTTGTAGGTTACTAACTGTACCATGATGGCATAAGACCCAGCTCTTGAAACTTCCCCATGCCAAGAGCTCCTTGGAAACCTGGGGAGTTATTTCGGCAGGCTGGCACTTATCCTGCAGGGTTACTTATCCTGCGGGGTTATAACCATGTCGATATATGAAAAGGCACATAGCAAAGACAGGCCTGCTCGGTGCATGCGTGTTTCATGGTGACATGCCTCTCACTGCCATTCCTGCCATCAATCATAGATTTTTGGACCAGTGCAATCAATACTGAAGTTCAAAACTCTCGAAGAAGTGATTAAAAGAGCGAATAGCCTGGAATACGGACTCACCGCAGCTGTGTTCACCAAGAGCCTCGACAAAGCACTGAAGGTGGCCTCCGCGTTAGAGTCTGGAACTGTCTGGTGAGTAGAGGACAGATGTGGCTGGCTTGCTAGCTTCATGACTTTTCTATGCACAGGGAGAGCTTGCTGTCATGTATTTCAGGCTTTGCTCAATCCTTCTTCACCACCTTCTGAGTTAGGTACCGTTTTTGTCTCCGTTTTATAGATGAGGAAATGTAGACACAGAGAGGTGGAGTAACCTGCCCAGGGTCACACAGCTAGCACGTGGCAGGGCAGAGCTCAGAGCCGGCCATCCCGTGATCTTAACCAGCGTGTGTGCTGCCCCTCGGACTTCACTCTCCCTGGCTTTATTTTTTATTCTGATTCAAAAAGCACCTCATGCTCTTGTGCAAAGTGTGGCTTGCAAGCCACTGTTTCTCCAATAATTCTACGGATTACATTGTCCTCATTTGAAAGATAATAGTAGATGATAAAGATGAATCGGGACTCAGGGAATCCTATAGCCAAGAACTTTGAGGCCAGGTCTGTCTCCTTTCAAAGTTAATCCTTCTTCCTCCCTGCCATAATTCCCCTCTCCTTCCTTCTCCTTTGGTCATTCCCTTCCTATCCCAAAGAAAAGCTTTACACTTAAGAATATTCAAATTTCAGTTTCTGGTGGGAAGACAGAGAAAGCAGAAGTTGAAAAGCACACTGCTTTAATTAGGAAAGCTTTGACCAAAAGTCATTCTTTAGGCGACACCCTGTGTCAAGCACCTCATCGCTAAAACCCCCGAGATACAGGTGGGTCACCTCCAGGTAACCGTGAGCATCTTTTCATTCTTTCTCTAGGATCAACTGCTACAATGCCATCTACGCACAGGCTCCATTTGGTGGCTTCAAAATGTCGGGAAATGGCAGAGAATTGTAAGTGTTTCTGTTCCTCTTTGGCTGCTGGCAGGGTGAAGTAAAAATACACTAGATGTACAGGGTGGTGGCATGTGTGCCAGTCCACCGACCCTTCCCTGGCCCTCTGTGTGTCCGGGTCAGCCGTGTCACATGCCTGGGGGTCCTCTCCCTCTGGGCCTGGTCCGGGTCCCTCCCTTCCTCTCTCCCTCTCCTGCCTGCCCACTTCTGCCCTTCCCGCCTTCCTCCTTCCATGGGGTTCCTTCAGGCCCCGGGACCAACCTCCAGCCTCGGCTTACGTTTTCCGAAGCACCCATCGCACGTGGGGAAGTTCAGTGGCTACTTGCCAGAGGCTCTCTGGATGTGGACACGAGCAGGGCTGGAGAGGTCCACGTTTTGCCAGGCATAGCATGTAATGACTCACACACACCCTTGGCCCTCAGCGAAGAAGATAGGCTGTCTCCCGGGTCAGGCTCTGGCCCTGTCTGCCACTGGCAGAGGCCCTGGGGACAGACCGTGGGTGACCCTTGCTCTTTGGGAGGTATCTGTGACATCTCCAGCTGGGCCTCCATGGCTCCACCAGCCCCACCATGTACTCCCTCCTGGTTCCTCTCTGTCTTGCCCGTTGGGAAGATGAGCTGCGTAGGCGTAGCCTAATGGATGGCCCTTCTTGTGTCTGGCCCAAGATGAAAGGCCCAGGCACAGAGCAGGATGGAGCCTTCTGGGGGGCGGGGGGGGGGGGGGGGGGGTTGGACCATCTGTGACAACACACAGGGCTGCTCCTGGGACATCGCGAAGGGTTCTGAGCTCTTCCTCTTATTTAAACAGTTTGTATTATTTATATACAAATGCATTACCTCATACTTGTCTGTACATGTCCAGTGAGGGCCCTCAGAGGCTGGGCCTTAGTGGGGCCTGTGGGCAATTCCCCGTCCAGGTTCTTAAAGACGATATAATAGAAGAATAGGGCTGGCTTCTGCCCCTGAGCAAATGCTCTCGACCAATCTCCATGGAACTGGGGGTCCCTCCCCCCATCTTGGTCCTCTTTAGCCCATCCCTGACTTGTGGCAAATACTCCAGAGCCATCTGAACGTCTGAGTAGAGTGTGTCCATTGGTATCTCCTAACCCCCACCTGTGGTTCATCTTTCGGGAAACCTCAGTAGATTCTTGGCCACAAAGCCCCTTTGCAGAAACTGTGCTTTGTCTCCAGGTGGCTTGTTTGTGTTTCGTGCTATGAAGTTCTACTTCATTACCTATTCACACCCACCTGCCTGCGAGGGACCTTAGGCTTGGGCTGGGGTCACCCAGGTGCCCTCCAGAGCCCCCCAACAGCAGTAGTGCTGGGGACAACTGGCATTTGCTGAGCGCAGACTGCCAGGCTGTGTCGGAGCACTCAGCATATGTTAATGCCATGCTCACGACAGTCCATGGGATGGTCTTAATCCATTCAGGCTGCTAGAACAGAACGCCACACATTGGGCAGCTTAAATGACAGACACTAATTTCTCACTGTTCTGAGGGCTGGAAGTCCAAGATCAAGGTGATAGCAGATTCGGTGTCTGGTGGAGTTCGTAGATGGGTGTCTTCTCTCTATGTTCTGTCATGGTAGAAGGGGTGAGGGAACTCTGGGGGAGAGGGGTCTCCTTTATCAGGGTGCTAATCCCATCATGGGGGCTCCACCATCCTGACCTAACCACTTCCTAAAGGCCCACCTCCTAACACATTCACATTTGGGGGGCAGGGGCCTCCACTTATGGATTACAGAGGGGCACAAACATTCCATCCACTTCAGGTGGGTACTACTGCTACCCTTGTTGAGGAAACCCAGGGGTGCCCAGAGAGATTCTGTGCCTTCTTCAGGTCACACTGACAGTGAGTGACAAGGTGGGATTAAACCCTTGGACCCCCCCACATAACAGGGCCTTGCTCCATAGGACTCACTTGTGTCAGCCACCTGGGATCAAGCAAGCCAGGACACACATGATCACGGGTCCCCTCTGATCAGCTGCCTTCAACCAGTCAGGCTGTGACAGCTGGGGGACCCAGAATCTGCACAGTCCTCCTCCCTGAGGCCTAGCACAGCCCTACCGCAGCCAAAATTTCAGTCCCAAAGCAGATGTCTTTGGAGGTCTAAGCTGTGGGAGGGTGTATGGGGCACCCCTGACTTCTAGGGCTGTTGCTTACTGCCTTCCTCGCCTGCATCTCCCCCATTTCCTCCCCCAGACCCTGACAGTGCCGTCAACTCCTTGGCACCCCACTGCCTGGCACAGAGTATTTGCTGAACATAGGCCAGGGTTCATCCTGCCGATAAGCCACAATCGGGACTTTTTTTGAATGTCTGGTTTGGTTTTTTTTGACCCATGACATGTATTTTCCCAGGGCTTTAGATCAAGTACTTTAACATAATTCACAAGGAGCCTGGAAACTGACTTGAAAACTGATTTCTATTTTCAGCTGTCTCTAATTAATGTCTTCATGTTGTAATAGGTTCCCCTTTTTCGTGCTGGAACCCCGTGCGGTGGATTCCATGGTTTTCCCATCCTAGCCGCCGCCGGGGCTTCCTGCCAGCCTGCCGCCCACCCACGAGCCCCTCCAGACCTGTTCCTGTGCAGGTCTGGAGAAGAAGCCTGTAGTTTCTCTTCCTTTGGGGTGCTTTTCTTGGTTCCTGATTTTACTTTGCAATAACAGTAATACAGTAACAAAAAAAGCCCCACACAGTAGAGACATGTGGAGACTCAGGGGCCCCCTCCCTGACCCTGTCACTCACACTTGGTGCAGGTAACCACCGTTCCATCATTTCTTTTGTTCATTTGTTCGTTCATTCACTTGGCAAATATTTACTGAGCACCTTTGGTGGGCCAGGCGCGTGCTAGGTTCTGAGCATTGAGCAGTGACCAATATTGTCACTGGTCCCTCCCTGCTCTGACATTTTTCTTCGGTCTAATGGAAGAGGGCTGGGCTTGGGGATGGCCTGGAGTGCCAACGCAGTCGTGACTGGGTGAGAAACCAGTTAGGAGATGCCACAGTGAGTCAAATCAGAGTGGCATGAACTTGAACTTGGGCTGTGACTGGAGGAATAACATGGGGTAATCCATGCACTTAATTTTACAGGAATGATCTCATACTGCACTTATTTGTTATGTGCTAATTCAACATGATTTTACCGCTGGGTGTGCTTGTCTTTACTAAGCAGATAAATCATGAACAACTTTGGATTTTTACAATGCAACACTATGAGCTCACTGCTCACTTTTAAAGGTTATCGCACATTTTCTATGCATACAATGCATGTAAATACGTGTGTTCTTTTAATGGGAGTTAACTACAATCTTTGCATATCCATCCTATCCTTTTTATTGGTCGTCTCGGATGATGGACTTTTCTGTTATTTCCAGAGGTTTTGCTATTACAAACCATGCTGACACTCTTCCTTATGAATCTTTATTCACTTGTGGGAGATTGTGTTCCTAAAATTGGGTAATCGGACACATGAAAAATGGGCTCTCCACTCTTTTGGTTTGCATTTCTTTAATCATGAGGGGGTTGAGTGCCTTTTTCACACTTGTTGGTAACCTGTATTTCTCCTTCTGTGAACTTCATAGCTTTGTTGATTTTTCGTAGTTTGTTTGTGGGTTTTTTATTGGTTCGTAAGAACTCCTTGTACATTAAGGAACACGACACTGTTTATCACAGAGGGTTACAAATGTAATTTTTTTCTAGTTTGTAATTTGTCTTTGGGTTTTTTAAAATGAAGTCTCTGCTCTACAAAAGGTGAACTAATATTCTGCGTATGGCTTTCATATTTTGCGTTATGTTTAGAAAAAAAATGATAAAATAATTTGCCCATTATCATGAGTTCTTGAACTATTTGTTTTAGGAAGCCGCCAAAAAATCATAATGACATATTTGTAATAAAATAATGACATTACTTTCTACCATTCACATAGTAGGTAGAAAATAATGATATTACTTTTAATAAAGTAATAATACATTTTACCTAGCACATGGTAGGTGCTCTATATGAATTATCTCTAATCATTGTAACTATAATGATGGTGTTCCCCTTTTACAAATGATGAAATAGAAACTCAGGGAAAGCAAAGCCTAGATCTAAGCCAGGTTCTCCACCTTGAGCCCCATCAGAGTCCCCTGCCTTGTTAATCCCCTAGTTTATTATTATAAAACACAGATTTTGGGTCCCACCCATAGACTCAGTAAGTAGTTTTCTGTTGCTGCTGCAACAAATTAACACAAAGTTAGTGGCTTAAGCAATATACATGTATTATCTTGCAATTCTGTAGGATAAAAATCTGACACGGTCTCACTGAGCTAAAACCAGGAGTTTGCAGGGATATATTCCTTTCTGGAGGCTCTAGGGAGAGAATATGTTTCCTGGCCTTTTCCAGCTTCTAGAAGCTTCCCCCGTTCCTTGGCTGGTGGCCCCTTCCTCCATCTTCAAAGCCAGCAGTGTCACATCTCTCTGACCCTGCTTGTGAGTCTCATGTCCCTCTGACGCTCCTCTTCTGCCTCCCTCTCCCCCTCAAGGACCTGTGGGGTTGCATGCGGCCCCCCCCAGATAATCCAGCATAATCTCCGTCTTTGAAAACCAGCAAATTAGCAACTTTAATTCCATCTGCAACTTTAAATCCCCTTAGCCATGAAAGCTGACATGATAGTCACAGGTCCAAGGGATTAGGATGGGGACCCCTTGGGTGGGAGGCACTATCCTGTCTACCATAGTAGATCTGGGGGTGGCCTGAGAATCTGCATTTTTAAGCCAATGCTGCTGATCTAGGGCCCACACTTGGCAAAGTACTGATCTAAGGGACGAGGTGCAATGCTGTCTCAAGTCTTTCCAGGTATAGAGCCTCTGGGGACCACCTCGGCTTCCACCTCTTTCCCTAAACAAGCACACATTTTAATTAACATCAGAGCAAGCGTTGTAGAGGCATTTTAATCTCCCCAAACCTGCCTCTTGATTCTGGGAAGGGGAGCTCCCCTGAGGATTGTCAATGATGCCTGAAAAGGGTCACCTGGGCTCACTTGAAGGCTGTGGTCCTCCATTGTGTCCAGCCTGACTAACATCTGGCCCTCAGCACCCCGCTGGCCTCTCTCCTCTTACAGCTGGTCCTAAGCTGTGTGCGCCGAGGCTCTCCACCTCATGGGTCCCCAGCCACATCCCCAGTCCATAGCCTTAGACCTCTGCCTTTCTCGCCCCCCTTCAAGTGGCCCCAAATTGCCATCTAACGGTCATAAACCCCATGTGATGTCTGTTCCCCTGCCCCCGCCCTCATTCATCCTCAAAGACCCACTCTTCCTACTCTGTACTCCCCACCCAAGAAGGCACCTCTTTTTAAAAGTCCCTTTTATTCATTCTTTAAAGGCAAACAAACCCTAGTCCTGAATATTTCAAAAGCATCGCACACAAAAATCTTGGTGTTTAAGCTTAAGTTACTTGTCCAGTTACTTACACTTACTGCTGGTGTTACAATCCTGGCTGTTACTCTCTCGTATCATTGCATTTTGACCATTTGTGTGCACTCCAAACTGCCCAGCAGCATCCTAACAAATCCAGCATTATCAGAGCCCCGTTCCCGGGGAACAGCTCGGTGATGTGCCCATTTCATAGTTTCCTTTTTTTTGTGTGTGTGTGATCACAGGGGTGAATATGCACTGGCCGAATACACCGAAGTGAAAACCGTCACCATCAAACTTGAGGACAAGAACCCCTGAAGAAAAGCTGGGCTCTTTCCGCAGACATTTGACAGCTGAATGTGGCAGATCAAACTTGCTGAAGAAGAAAAAAAACAAAACAAAAAACGACGTTTCTGACCTTCCTGGCACACTTTCTTCTGGAGACCTTCCATCTACGGGATGGGAACGATTTTGATATTCCTCTCGCACTCCTGTTTCATTGACTGATATGTTGGGTGTGAAATTGCAGTCCTGCCCAGGGATGGAGCTGTTGACCGTTTCTGTGTTCATCCAGGTCCCCGGGACAGTTAAGAGGCTCAGGGCGTTGTCCACAGGAAGCGGTATTTGAAGTATCCAGCAGTCGCTTTAAAAATGCTCTGCTGACTCTGACTCTAGTAAGAATTCAGGAAAACTCTGTGCGTATTCTGGAAACAGGGTCCTGTGCCTGCGGGTTCCTCAGGGTTCCTGCCCACAGAACGAGCCCCACCCACCGTTTAGTGGGAAAGGAATAGCCCAAAGTTAAAAAAGAAAAGAAAAGAAATAAAAGCAGGAGTGGGATGACCCCATGCCTTCGGGGACTACATCTTGACATTGACCATGGGACTCAGCTTAAATCCAATACTGCCTCTGGAATAGGACCGAATCACCAGCCCATTGAGCTTATCTCAATCTATGTCAAGGTCTGAGGCAGAAAGCATCTCGAGCAAGTGTCACTGTCACAGCTAAGGACCTGGCGCTCTGACACCACAACAGCATAGCAAATCCTAGGATCCTTAAGTCCTGCAGTTTACAAACCAGAGCTGTAATTCGCTTTTACAAATGATGCATTTCTGCCACTTGCATTCATGGTTTATGCAGTTTCTCTTTACTTCAGTCGGGTTATCCAGTTTAGATTAGGAAAACATGCACACCTGGGAAGACTGATGCTATGATACAGCCCTGGTTTGTTCAAGTCCTATTTTGATGTGAATCCATGATTAATTAACAAATAACACTTGGATTCTATGGAGGACCTGGGTCTCCTACTAAAGTGGTCTGTTACTTGCACTAAACAAGTTGGGAGTTTTTCGTTTCCTCTTTGTGTCTCCAAATCATGTGCAATTCCAAGTTTTAACTTGGAAAATGGAAAATGTTCCCATATAGCTTTAAAAAAACAAAACCAAATTTAAACTGTGTTCTTTGGATACTTTGACTATTCCTAACGAGTACTTTTCTAATGGTGCTTATGTTTGAGAATTAAATTGCAGGCGGTGGGGGCAGGAATAAAATGAAGGTCTGTGTCAAAACCAGTGTGTGTATCAAGAAAGTCATATAGGACATGGGGTTGTCACTTTTGTCAGAAATATGCAATATAGCATTCACTTTCTCCTCTATGTCAGTTAACGCTTATCACTTATACTGTCAGTAACTTGTTAAATCAGGATTTGACTCATACACTGAATTTTCAGGATTTTATCTCAAGTAATTATAGGCACTAACCTTGATAGTAATACGTTAGAGGGTTCTTATTCTTTCATGTACAATAATGCCTTTAATATGAAATGCTACATTATTTATAATTGGTATAGATAATGTATCTTTTTATAGTTGTAAGTAAACAGAGGTGGTATATTTAACCTTCTGTAATATACTGTATTTAGGAATGGAAATCTATATAGCATTAGATTTCACTTCTTTGAAGGTTGACTCCTGTGGTATGGCTTCAAAATTGATTGGCCTGGGAATTCTGATCCTAGCTGTGGATTGTGTTAACAATGCAATGATAAAAATAAATTGGATATTTGACAAACATTTTATTTTTTCATTTATGGACCAAACCCCTTTTAATTCTGTGGCTGGTCTTTCTCTTTCTTAGATCTTCTGTCCAAAATGACTTGTGAAAAGCAGTATCAACACTTCAGAATAAAATGACATTTGCTCAGTTGATCAGGCCTAGCATTTACCTTGAATGTGAAACCTACTTCTGTGGTTTAGCGGAGTGACCAGGCAGGGAGCTCAGCCTCAGAGGCTCTGCGTCTTACCTGGCAAAGTTTAAGGTGTCGTCTAAGCTGCTGGAGTCTCCTTTTATCATTAAGTGATGAGGGTGTACGTGTGCGAAGTGATGAAGACTGCGGATTTAAGGAAAACACTGCATTCCATAACTGTGTGCACAGGTTTCCATTTTTGTCACTTTTTTTCATGAGGACCTAGGTATTAGTGCTTAACATACCTTAAGATTCTAAGGCTTTGAACCAAGAAGCCTCAATCACCAAGGCAAGAGCTTGTACGTGCGTGGTGAGGTCTACCAAGTTCAACCTATGCCTTTGATGTTGAGATTCCAGATGACTTGGGCCATGTGGTGGCAAGGCGCCACCCTTTAAGCAAGAAACTTGAGAGACTTGGATCAGATCCCTCATGATGTATGCACTTACGAATGCATTAAATGTATTTAGAAAACTCCCGTTTCTCAATACATAGGAGCAGAAAATTCTAGGGAAATGACCTCTTCTTTCATTTGGTTTACCAAAGCATGACTCTGAAGGGAACCATTCTGGGGACATGTGTGTGTGTGTGTGTGTGTGTGTGTGTGTGTGTGTGTGTGACTGTGTGACTGTGTGCACTTGTGTGCCTGTGGGGGTGGGACCCAGAAGGTGGGCGCATTCTCTGAATGTGGATTGACACTTTGGAATACCCTAGCTTTTCCTGATGTGGGACGGAGCCTTTTTAATATCTTTGCTCCTAGCATGTGGCTGACCTGAGCTTGACGGTGGATAATGAGGGGTGTTTTAAAAAAGCATCCAAGGAGGAATGTCTGGAGAAACTGAGTACCCAGCTGGAAGAAAGTTGATAAGACACGGGGTGGGGGTGGGGGGGTGGGGGGTGTACAGTCAGCCAGAGATGTTGGGTCGTGGAGGTAGCTTCCAGCTGACCCCACCTTAGGAAGAGTCATTCCAACATGAGATGCTGAGAATCCAGGTAGGTTGTGGAGCAAAAGGTAGAGGACCCTGGGTCAGCAGGGGTCAAGAAGCAAACCTGTGACTAACTCATGCCAAATAGAGTTAAATGCTGGGATAGAACCAGCTCGAAAAAATCCACCCGTGTGTCGGGTGTCCCGGCCGTTTTCTACATTGGAGACATTCCTGGCCTATTCCCAAGCTCATTTGAAGGGAAGTTTGAGTTGCCCCCATCTGCAGTGGCCACTTCCTCTCCTGTCTGCCCCAGCACTGGGCGTGCGCTTCCTCACGGCGCCGCTAGATGGCGGGGCCGCGCGCCCTGGAGGCTCAGCACCTCGGTGGCCAGGCTCACTCAGCCTGCGGACGCCACGCCCTGCAAATTATTAGGGACTCTTCCGTAGAAATCATACTGCTGCTTTTTATATAGTGGAATGAGGACCGCAGTGGTGAGGACCCACCATTTTGGAAGGGCGTCCCGTAGCAGGAGAGCTGGAGGGGGCGCCTCGTGGGAACAAAGCAAAACTGCCCGGTGGTCCCCTCGCCCACGGGGGCCCAACGAGCCGCCCCAAGTGGCCACTGCCCGGCGTGTCCGCGAGGTCCAGGCCCTGCGGCTGCCCGGATTTTGTGAAATGGCAATGTGGGCGGTGGCCATTTGTGTCTGTGCCTTGCGCTAAATCCTGGGAATGTTCCAGTCATAATGCATGAGAGGAACCTCGGGTGCGGGTCCTGCCGGGGTGCAGAACCTTCTGCTTTTTTTCCCTGCAGGCTTCTCTTTATCCCGTGGGCTCGTGGAGCCGAGTCTGACGCCTGCCTGCAGCATGGACATGCTTATCTATGATCTGCATTTCGATAATGGCCTCAATGGTGTGAACATATTTATATTAGGTTGAAACATAATAAATTGCCAACATCCCACCATGTTTTATCTACCTCCCCGCTCCCCTCCCACCCCCACCCCCGAAAACCCCAGACAACTGAAAATGTTTTGCTTAATAGTGACATCTTGGTATGCATCCATAATTAAATTAGTAAATTCATATGGTGGAAGGTGTGCAGTTCGCAAATATTAAAGTTTTAAAAACCCACATGTCTATACTGCCCTATAAAGAGTTGAGCACACATAAATGTTCCCTCTCTTTTTAATAGTTACCAACAGAGTATATGGCCCACCACACGCAAGGCAGAGTTAAATCCGCGCGTTTTGCGGCTGAGCAGAGCAGAGGGTCAGTGAAAGCTGGGTTGAGCCGAGAACCCAGCTTATCGCCGCGTCGGCCACGCGTGGAGGGAGCAGGGCACCCAAACCTGGAGGGGCCGTCACGCTAGAAGGACCCGTGGGCCCTGTCATCTCCTGGGCATGAGCGGTGAATTGGACCACCTGCGGTTTCCGACTAGGGAAACTGAGGCGGGCATCCACGGGGACTCCTCCCGCGGGTTCCGGGAGGACCAGCTGCGGCCGATCCTCGCCCTGCGCGCTCTTCGCGCCGCCCGCCCTCCACGCCCGCTGGCGGCCGCAGGATTGAGGAAGTGCGTCTGGGCCCGGCCCGGCCCCGGCGCGCGCGGCCGGAGGCTCTGGGGGCGGAGGGCAGTGGCACCGCCAGGCCCCGGCCCGCTGGAGTCCGCCGGGCCTGCATGCCCAGCCCTGTCGCTGCAGGTAAGCGCTGTCCCGCCCCGCGCCCCGCGCCCCGCGCCCGGCGTCCCGCCCGGGAATCCGGCTGCCGCCTGCGGCCGGTCCGCGTGGAGCCCTGGGCCCCGCAGCTCAGGCCCGCGCTCCCGGCGGCGGCCGCGTGCTTTGGCCAGGGTGGCCCTTGCCCAGGGGCCCCCGAGGGCTCGGGGCGGCCCCAGCCTCGCGGCCCGGCTGTCTCCCGCCGCGCTCCGACCCCAGGCAGCCCGCGGGGTGGGGGATGTGCGGGACCCCGGAGCGGAGCCCGAAGCCTCGCCCGGGACGGTGCCGGGGCGGGGGGAGCGGAGGCAAGAGACAAAAAGTAGGAGAACACACCAGGGTGCCTGCCGGTCTGCTCAGCCTCTGCAGCCATCCCCTTCCTTCAACTTGGAGCGGGCCGTGGGGAGCGCGCGTGTGCGAGTGCGTGAGTGTGAGTGCGTGTGTGCTGGGAAGGGCTGCCCGGCGTCTCTCGCTGCCCCGGGGACCGGCCTGGCCATGCAGGGGGCCCGAGCGCGCCGCCACCCTCCTCAAAGTCTGAGGTAGGCTCCTGCCCAAAATCATGGCTCTGGCCAATACAAACAGGCATCTCTATGGCGGTCTCTGTGGGCGACCTTCCCAGGCAGGGGCGGGGAGGTGAGTGCGGTCCGGGGCAGGGGGAGCCTCGGTAGTCTGGGGGTCAGAGGGAGATAGTGATTGAAAATTCGGGGACCTATGGGGGTCTGAGGGAGATAGAGATGGAGAATTTGAGGGCCTATGGGGGTCAGAGACACATAGTAATGAAGAATTTGGGGACCTCTGAGGCCCGCTCAACCTGCTCCTTCACAGTTTGAGGCCAGGAAGTTTTTCTCCCAGGAACACATCCCCTTGCAGGGGTGAGAGGTAAGGAAACAGGAGCCTGGCACTGTTTTTCCAGTGAGCCTCTCACCAAATACACCATTTTTTAGAGTTTGCCACTCGTTCATATTGTATCAAGTTCCTTGGACATTAAAAGGGGACAAGTAGAATATGCCCAATTTTGGACAACGTTAATTCTCAATGCTTTTTTGTGATTTGACTTAATTATCTTTGCTTATGTCCAGGAAGAAGAACATAATTAAAAGCATACACACCTCACACCTAATTTTGGGCCTGAAGGTTTTGGGGTCTGACAAATCTTTCCGGCACCCAGGCTTTTTCACATCTCAGGGAATGGTCCCATCTTCCGCTGGACGAATTAGCCTCCATCCCATTTGTTCACTCCTTGATTCAGTCTGTTAGCAAGTCCTGTTGGGCTTCCCTCTGAAAGGTTTCCTCTCTGTCCCCTGCTTTCTCACAGCCCACACCCAGTCCAAGGTACCACTGTGAGGGCTGTACTCTCCGCCCTGTACTCTTACAGTCCTCCCCTCATTCTGTGTTTGGCAGCAAATGATTTCTTTTAATTAAAAAAAAATTTTTTTAATATCACATGAAGGAAAGAGGACTTTATCGATGGCTAAAAAAAATGGGTTTGTTCATAGATAACCTGACAAGTTACCCTAAAATGTGTTTCCTGAGACATAAGGAAATTCAACATTATTCTAGCTGAGGATCTGAACTGAGGAAATATATATGGGCACAAACAGCTTGTGCAACTTAATACTTTTTTTTTTTTGGTGTCATCAGAGGGTGTCACTGAACTCACACCCAACTTGCCCTTTCAGTATGCAGTTCGATGGGAGACTTCTTTGTACCTCTGTCAGTCTTCTTCTTATATTGTCGAACAGGCAAACAGGTTTGTCCTCACTGTAGTAAGTTAACCTTCCTGTTAGCAAAAGAGGTAACCAGCCCCCTGCAGACTGAAGGGACTGCAGTCACAGGATGAGGATTTCCTCTTAATATTTTTTTATTTTGATGTTTGGAACTCTTGATGGAACATTCTAGAGCAAGGTGTGCAGGACCTGCTAAGCCCAAGAGGAATTTTTTAAAATAGGCAAACCAGAGAGTGCCGTTCCTCTGCCTGGAACCCTTCAATAACGTCTCCTTGTGAGTGGCATGAAATCCAGGAGGCCTTCCCCTCACAGCCCCGTCAACCTGGCCTCTGCCATCTCAGACCACCTGGCCATTGTCCCCAGCCACCCTGGCCCATCTACTGTCCAGCACGTGGCCTCTGCAGTGTTGTCCCATGGCCAGCCACCCTCTCTACACCCAGCCTCTTTCTCACATCCCTCTCTCTGTGTCCTTCTTTATCTGCTTAACTTCTCCTTTAGTTACCTGGAGGTCTCCAATGGAGCTCCAGAAGGGGTCAGAGACCGTTCCTTTGTGCCTACCTGGCTCACTGCTGCATTGTCACCTCCAGAACCATCCAGGAGGTGCCCGGTTCATACTGCCACAGTGACCAGTGGCAAATGGACAGCCTGAACCTGATTGTGGTTTCATAGTCATGAAGGGTTACTGTTCCCAAACCTCGGGTGCTCATCTGGGATTGGGATGGTCTGCAGCTCCATGCTATTTGGATGTCCTCAAATCCATTAAATACACTTTGTAGGCAAGCCAGGATTGGTCACGGGATGTTGGGGCCAAAGGGACATCTAGGGCCATGGGCCAACCATCTCCACCAGGCTTTTGATTCAAAAAAGAGGTGGGTGATGTGAGTATTTCCAACATGCTTTACTTGCAAGCATCTTCCGTCTCCTTGATATGGGCAGTTCTTGCCAAACCACCTGAAAAGGCAGGTGAGCAGCTCTAGAAACTCCTGTTGAAACTTTATTGCAAATATTTAACTACCCCTCTCCACCAACTGTAAGTTTTATGAACTTATGAAGTTCACTCTTTATGGAAAGGGTCTAGTGAAAACATTTGTAGAATAAATGTCAGGTTCTCTTTTTTCTTTGTCATGAACTATTTTGGTTTATTCATGAGGACAGATATAATGAGTTGGCAAAAGAAAATCGGTGAGGTTTTCAAAGTTGTTAAAATAATGATTATTGCAGAAAACCTCTTGAAGGCCTCTTTAGGATGTAAATGCCATAAAGAAAAGAAAACAGGTAACTTACAACCATGATTTGCTGCACTGGTCTGAACCCCAAAAGAAGTAGGAAGAAAGCAAAGATCCGTTTGAGGGCAAAGATTGAGCAAAGCTTGAGTTACCTCATCCTAAAACTCCTACCTTAGTGTCTAAGCCAAAGTACAAATTATAATTGAAAAACGGCTCCAGTGGCAAACTCTCCCACTGCTAAAGCGATTTTCAAAAGGAAACTGAAAATGAAAAGGGGAACAAAATGTGCTGGGTGAAGGATGGCCTAAAATATTTTAGAGATTTTTTTCAAACTTAAAAACATTATAGGGTACAACACTTCCGTTTTCAGAAGGCACATCTACCGACATTTGGATTTTTGAGGTTTGTTGGATGCATTTGGTGTCTGAGATTGGAAGGATAGCAGTGCGCCCCTTGCTTTCTGAATGCTAACTGTATAATTTGGAGCCTTTATTCTAAAACAGGGGTTCTGTTTTGCTGCTTCTCCCTGTCCCCGTCTCAAGTTGATTTTGCTCAGTGCCTACCGCATGCAGGACCCACCCTTCTAAAACCTGCCCACTGGGGAAACAGCATGTCTGCCCCCCAGCACTAATATCCTGAGCCTGTTAATCAGAGGGCAGGTGGGTGACCCTGCTGGCCTCCCAGGGCCCCAGCTGGTGTAGGAAAGAACCACTCTGACCCTGTTCTACAAATCTTAACATCTCACAGCAACCCTGTGAGGTTGCCTGGGTTACGTCTGTTTTTAATAGACGTAAAAACTGAGACACATACGTTTAAGCTTGACCTTACTTAAGCTTACTCTGCAGACCTGTGACAGAGGCAATCCAAGCCTTTGACCTCCAGACCATGCTTTCCTCTTTCCACATGGTCTTGGGCATCATTTACATGACCCTGACGTTTTTTTGGTGGGGACTATACTATTGCTCTCCATTTCAGAGTTGCCTGTCTCAGAAACGGTTGCTAGTTATCCCGCACTTTATGTATAGGGTAGAAAATATACAAACACTAATAGAAATGCTCGCATTTCAAGGCCAGCTGAGTGGCTCAGTTGGTTAAGAGCTCGTATAAGAGTGCGAGCGCTAAGCAACAGCAGTTCAATTCCCAGCCCGAGCTGAGCTACCAACAGGTGGTAGGATGGCTCAGCTAAAAAAAAAAAAAAGCAAAGAAAAAGAAATGCTCGCATTTCAGATGACTGCACCCTTCCCATCATGCAGTTCCACGCCTGAGCGTGCCAGGCCTGAGCTGGGTCTGGGTCTTGCCCTCAAGGTGCTGTGGTCATTTAATCACCCTAGTAGGATGGGCACTTGTGTTGGGGGACCCCCAAGCTCGGTGGGAGCCCAGTAGGAGAGAGTAGCGCCTTGCCTCAGCGGTTCTCATCACACCCTCATTAGTCTTAGATGAGTCTTACTCTAACGCACCATTTCTCCGGATAATTGGAACTATGTGGGCTGCATAGTTCTCTGATAAGGAGCCTTCCCTGTGCATATAGGGTGTTCCACAGTGTCCCTGACCTCCACCCACTAGATGCCTATAGCACCCTCACCCCCAGCTGTGACAACCAAAATGCCTGCAGACATTGCCAAATGTCCCCTGGGGGGCAAGCAAAATATATGGGGCCCCCTTCTCTTACCTCCAGGGCTCAAACTTGGCTTCACACCCAGCACCAGACCCCTTCTCTTTGGGATTGTTGCCTGGTTGTCGCTTTGGAATTATGCCTGCCTCTGGGCTCCTGGGCAACGGGAAGGCCTTGTTTTATGACTGACTGAAAGTGTGTCTGCTATACCCCAACTGGACTATGACCTCCTCAAGGCAGGAGCCTCATTTACAATAGTTGTCTCCATGTCACTGTGTGAGTGACAATGAATATGCGATGTGTTGATTGAACAATGATTGAACTCTTTACCAGTAGGTGTTCTGCAGTTTGGGTTTCTTTGAGATTCTCCCCAAGTAGACATCACCCAGCTGTGAAGTATGGTGGGGGAACCCCTGTCCTTTCATTGCCCCCCCCCATCTGGTGTGGCTGGATAGATGGATGTAAAGAGGAAAATGCTATAAGGAGAGGAAATGCCAGTGACCCATATAAACACGTGCACGTGTGCAGGAAGGGACCTGACAACTAAGAAAAGCTTTCTGAATGTATGATTTCTTCCACCAGAACTAGACAGCTTTCTGCTCAGCCATGACTGCGTGTCCGTGCCATCGGCCAGCCCGCGGGCAGCAGCAGCGGCAGTGACCACAGCCAGAACTGACTTAGCAGAGCGGCCACCCCGGAGGCTGATGGCTGGCATGTCGCAGCGACCACCCAGCATGTACTGGTGTGTGGGGCCGGAGGGGTCAGCCGTGTGTCCAGAACACGCCATGGAGACGCACAATGGTAAGGAGACAGGGCTAGCTAAGCCCACCACGCATGTCCCGTGGGGAGCCTGGGCCACACAAGAGCAAGGGGTTTTCAACAGAAGGATCTAAAATGCCCATTATTTGGTGAATTTTTCATTATAAAATATACATGTATCTTGGGGTTCTCACTTAAATCTAAATATTGAGGGGTCATGGGGCAAAATTGAGTGTGTGCTCTGAAATATTAAGAATCAGGGCATTGCTTCATGTTGCTTAAAAAGTATTTTTTAAGTGGGGGTTTGATTTGTTCTCTCATTATGAAAACAATACATGTTTATTAAAGAAAAATTGAAAAAGAAAAAAAAAGATAGTAGAAACAAGTCACCCAGAGTCCCATTGTCATAAACACAAGTGCAGTTAGCTTCTTGGTGTGTCTCTTCTGGTCTGTTTCTCTGGGCGTCAGGGACTTTGTTAACTTCATTAGCTTAGAATGGTGCATGTAATTTCATGTTCTCCTTTTTCCTCCTAACCTGTATCAGTCACTGAGCTCATGTGGCCAATGGAAACATTGTTTAATATGGCAGCCCTGTCCAAAATGAAAAACCTGATCCTTATTGACCTGTTGGACGTTTGGGGTCATTTGGGTTGCTTCTAGTCACTCATTGTTACCAAAACAGCAAGCATTTCCATCTTTTTGGTTTTGAGATTATTTCCAGAGAATAGATTTACAGATGTGGGATGATTGGGTTTGAGCATTTTTAAGCCGCTTTACACAGAGTGCCAGATTTTCAGTTATACTGCTTTTAACACCAGTAGGATATCACTCGTATTGTGGTTAACAATAAATATTTATTAAACTCTAAGTACCTACGAGACACTGGGTTCAGTGCCTTATGAAATAATCTCATTTAATCCTTAAAACACCCTGTGAAAATGATACTTTTATCACCATTTTATAGCTGAGGTCTAGAAACTTGTTCAAGGTCAACAGCTTGTAAATGGCAACCTGCAGTTTGAACGCTCTCTTAGCCCTTGAACTCTCTTGTCCTTAAAGTCAAGGTCACCCTGTGGGCTTTAAGAGTGCCTGTGTGTTGGGCTTGAGGGGGCCCTTGTGTCTGTACTGTCAGTCGTGTTAGCAATTCAACATGGTACCTGGCTCAGCAGACATTTTGTTCATTTGCTTGAGTATATTTTTCTCCATTGAAAATACCCAAAGGCTAGCTAGGGTGATGTTTCTGGAAGATTTCTTTGTGTATAAATCAAATTATGAACTGGGAAAAGAATTTACTTATTGACATTGCCCAGCATTAAATGTTCTCAGAGTGTTGGACTTGCGTCGTTTGAAAACTTATTTTTTTTTTCAGATGTATGGCTTTTTTCATTTGCTTGTTAGAAAGGCCGTACTTTGGTAGCGTGAGATCAAGGCGACGTGTAGAGAAGACTGCTGTACCCGCTTTTTGGGTAGCGCCTCTACCTTTCCAGGGCGCTGTCAGCTCCGTTATCCCACCTGCCTCTCCTCTCAGCAGCCCTGAGGAATCAGGGTAGGGGCAGGGATGTTGCGCCCATTTGGGGGCTTGCTGTGTTTCATCTGAAAAAGGCCCTCAGGAGATTCTGCCCTGTCCCCTTCCTGGTCAAGAGCTGATGATTTAAATGAGTGTCTCTCCACCCTGGTTCTCAGAATCACTGGGGCGCTTGGAAAACTGCCAGCGCCAGGCACCACCCAGTCCTACTGCAGCAGCCTCCGGGAGAAAGGGGCAAGCATGGGCACTTCTTAAAAGCTCCCTCCGCATCGTGGTTCTAACGTGCAGCTGTGGTTGAGAATGAACTGGTCGACATGGCTTGGGTCCCACAGAGCAGCCCCTCTCAGATTACAATGTATATGCAAATTTCCTGGGGTTTCGGTGAAATGCAGATTTCCCACGAGTCCTCATTTCTGTCAAGCTCCTGGGTGGTGTCAGTGGCAGTGGCAAGGCTGAGATAGATGATGGCTTTCTGAGGTGCCCAGGGATCCCCACTGATTGATTTTTACAGGTCCTAGGGACCTGAGCCGATGGACAGACCTAGAAGCATCCCTGCCTGTGGACTTGATGGAGGACAGATAACTGGAAGGAAAATGTCCGCATGCCCCAAGAAGCCAAAGCATTGACACTCCCCTGTCCCTATTGTCCCCTCGAAGGCCTGTGTCTTCACATTAAGCTGCTCCTGCAGTAGGTTTCATCTCCCTGACGGCTGGGGACACCAGGTTAAGAGGAATAGGTTCAGAGAGTCTCGTCTGCCCCGGGGGACTGTTTCCCCAGTAGAATCTTGGGACTCCCACACCAGTGTATACTAGCTGTGCTTTTTCACGCCCACCCACGTAACTCACCTTGTGTTTATTCAGGACGGTGGACACTTTCTAAGCCCATGATCTCATGAGCTGTTTGTCAGCTGCTGTGTGCTGCCGGGGGTCTGTGTGTGCCTGTCCTGTGTTTGTGCCACATAATTGTGTCCCAGGAAGGTATGTCGCAAGCTTATTAGCACGGTCACCTTGCCTGTGAGTTGACAGAACTAGAATCAATGAGACACTGGGCTGGGCTGCGGGGCAATCCATTTTGACAAACACGCCATTAGACATTCTTCTGCGTCCTTCTGACACTAGCCAGAGTGGAAAAACCTGTCCTGCCAGCTGAGGTGAGGCTGCCTGGAAAGTAGAGAAGTGGAGAAACTTCTAGATACTCCAGGCTAAGGACGCTTGGTGAGACTCTTCTGGACCATGGGGGGTAAGGGGTGCTTGGACAGAGAGCACGGGGCGGCTCACCCCCCCCAACTCTCTGTGAGGGGGCCCTAACTTCAGCTGCCGCCTCAGAGCAAGTCTTCCACAGGACCCGGTATGGACCAGAGGAGGGGAAGGAACATTCCAGAGGGTCTGCAAATCCCAGGTTTTTATACAGCTACTTTCCATGTCCTTTGCTTTTTCCTTTGGCTTTTTCAAATATATATGAAAACATAACTTTTTCATATAAAAGCCAAGTGGTTTCCTTGAGTGGGGGCTCTGCCTGCCTTCCAGAAATAGAAGTAGGAAATAGAATTAGGAACTGCCCCTCCGGGGCAGTGGGCTATCTTAGCGAACTGCTGTCAGAAATCCTTCAGGGGGCAGGTCCAGGTTGATGGGACCCTTTCAGAGTGTAACTGCCAGCGCATATCTTGAACCTGATCTTGAAGTCGGTGTCCTGTTCATGTTTGCTGGGCTGTGTTCACACCCTGGGAGCAAGGAGGGGTGGACAGGGCTTTGCCATAGTCAGCGGGGTGCTCTCCTCCAGCCTGGCCTTAAGAGCAGCTCTGGGACCTCCAGGGACTGTAGCCAGGGTCCCTTGAGTGAACTGAAAGGGAGAGAGGCTGAGCAGTGGCCTAGCGGCCAGGGGGGTTGAAACAGCCATGGGCACCTATCCACATGGGCAGCAGTTAGGACAGCTGTGCCTAACTACGGAAGTGCTGGGCTTGGTGGGCTTTTGACATTAACCTTAATCTGAGGCTTAGATCTGCTCCTGATTATTTGTCCAGAATATGCTTGGTTACTTCCAACAATGGGGAGCTGACTACCTGTCTAATAATGCCAGCTTTTCTCTGGGCAACCCTGTTAGGAAGTGCATGATGCAGAAACTGGTCCTGCTTTCATTGCATCCAGCTTCGCCCGCTTAGGCTGATCGGAATCCCTCAACCCTTTTCTTGACATACGGAAAACAGATGTCTTGCCCTCCCTGTGGATTCCTTTTTAGGCTGAGGAAACCCTCCCTCCATCTGCAAAAGCAGACAGCACGCAACTTCACACATTTCACGCCAGCATCACTGAGCTTTCTTCCTTAGGCTGTAGACTACCCATAGGCCATGGCTGCCTGGACCTAGGGGAAGAGCTGCCTCTCACCCCGTCCCTCCACCCTGAGGTGGGCAGGCTCTCGGGAGCACCCCCATCCACCTACCCATTCTAGGGGGCCACAGCCTGAAGCTCACCTAGGGCCTCAGTCCCCACCCACTGCCTGCCTTTCCCCACCCCACATTTGCCTCCAAGCTTCCTTTCCAAGGGGTGGACAGGGCAGCCCCACCCGATGACCCCTGTGCCCGTTGGCAGCAGCCCAGGGCCACCTGGTTGGCATTCAGTGGCCAAGACAGATGTTCTTCCCACCATGGGGCCCTCTTGAAGGCGTCAGTGGCCTGTGAGCAGGGAGGTGCCTATGCGACATCCCCATGTCCTGTTGCAGAGAGACAAGGATTGTGTCCCACCTGCCTGATTTCTTGGATCACTCGAGTGAAACCCTGAAGAACCTGTAATTAGGGATTTTTATGAAATTCTGTAGTTCTCTGGGAATGGACTCCTCCCTCCAATAACACAGAAATCCAAACTCTAATGTATGGATGTCACACAGATTTTCAGGAACCCCAATGAATGACAATGGGGGGCTTCCACAATTCCTTAGAAACCTCAGTGCTGAGTCCCTTCACCATCCTGGCCACCCCTGTGTTCAGTTTGTCCAGATTCCATGTAACCATCTTGCTATTTATTGAAAGATGTTTGTCATAAAGAAGAAAGAGAAAAAAAAAAAGGAATATGCATCTCAGAATCCTTCTGAGCCTATATCACCCTGATGTTGTAGAAGTACTCACACGTGAGTGAGAAGTTATATTTTCAACTGTAAAGAACTTTTTCGGATTCCACTTTATATGCTAATGCTTGCTAGGGCTGTGCCTAACTTTTATCTCATCCAGCTGTCATTTAGCATCCAGTGGCCAGGGCACATCACCAGGTGTTTGGTTTAAAATCACCTACCTGGTCATTTCAGGAAAACCAAGAGCAAAAGCAACTTTAATTTGGGCACTTGGAATGTATCAGAGACCTAGAGATATTTCAAGCCATTGAAGAGTTGGAGCCCATTATTTTGAACCATGTGATGATGCAAATTTGAGGTTCGAGTTTGAAAACAAAAGGATGAGAATGAGACTCTTCAACTTGGAGATGGAGGGAGGTCAGGACAGGCCCCTCAGGCGGTTTCACCCCCACCCTAG